ACACAAATACTCACATGTTTATTAGTTGTTGTTGTTTTTTTTTCCTTTTTATTCTTGGTATTTGACTCTACTATGACTTTTTGACAGTTGGTCAAGCTAAATTAGTCAAAATCTCAGATATCCAGGAAGTTCAGATTGACCGTTTTGTTCCCTTAACAAATAATCTGTAACTTTTTTGACAATGAAAATAATTTTATAGGATTAGAAACCTCGATCATTCCAGAACTGCGCTGCTCTGGGTGGCTGCATGCTGGAGTAGCTCTGTTGACTATATGTAAGTTTAGCCTTTTTTTGATGACATTTTTTCTTCTAGTTTCTCAAGAAAAACTGTATTTTTTTGACATTTTACCTTTCTGTTTCTGGTGCTGTTAAGCTTAGAGGATTTTTACAGCTATTTTTTCACTTTTTGAGCATTTGTTATGATGCGTAACCATGGCAACAAGCTGGTTTACAATCGGGAGCAGCTGATTCAAATTGGAAAGGCTGAAATAATACCTCAGCTGAAGCCACAAATCCCAAATGAGCTTAAACACAAGATGTGTGTGTGCAGAGCAGGAGCAAAACGGAGACAGAGAAAGAGGAAATTCGAACCATCTCTTCCATCGATTATAAAGGGCAATGTGAGATCACTGGCCAACAAGATGGAGGAACTCCAAGCCCTTTCAAGGACTCAGCCAGATTATCTGCAGTGCATTGTTATGTGTTTCACTGAGACGTGGCTGCAGGGGATAGGACCATATCCCCGATTCCAGCGTCTCTCTGCCAGGATTCCTGACTGTACGAGCAGACAGAGATCTGAAGAGGAGCGGGAGAAGAAAAGGAGGTGGAGTGGCAGTGCTTGTCAACAACAGATGGTGCCATCCAGGTCATGTTTCAGTGAAATATTGTCTCTGCAGCCCAGGTGTTGAACTCTTGGCAGTAAGTTGTCGCCCATATTATTTGCCAAGAGAGTTCATCAGTGTTGTCTTGGCAACCGTTTATATTCCACCTTCAGCCATTGCTGAAAATGCATGTGATGCCATCAGTTCCGTTGTTGCTAAGCTACAAACCCAGCACCCCAATGCATTTGTGGCTATATCTGGTGATTTTAATCATGCCTCGCTCTCTGCTACACTTCCAACATTTCAACAGTTTGTCAGCTGCTCCACCAGAGAAAACAAGACATTGGATTTGTGTTATATAAATGCAAAGAATGCATACATGTCCAAAACAAGACCTTCATCTGGGACAATCAGATCACAATCTTGATTTTCTCTGCTCAGAATGCAAACCACTTGTTCAAAGGCAACCTGTGACAAGAACCGTGAGAAAATGGTCACAGGACGCTGAAGAAACCCTGCAGGGTTGTTTTGAGACCACAGATTGGATGACTCTCTGCCAACGATATGAAGAGGACATCAATGCCATGACTGGATTTGTCACTGACTATATAAACTTCTGTGTGGACAACATCATACCCACCAGAACAGTGAGATGCTTCGCTAATAACAAACCCTGGATCACCAGTGAACTGAAGAATCTGCTAAATGAAAAAAAAGAGCCTTCAAGGAGGGAGACATGGAATTATTGAGGAGTATACAGAAGCAACTGAAGACCAAGATCAGAGACAGCAAGGAGGCATACAGGAAGAAGCTGGAGAACAAACTACAGAGGAACAATATCAGAGATGTCTGGTCAGGTATGGAGATCACAGGCTTCAAGCAGAGGAAGGATTGCAGAGATGGCAGCCTGGACACAGCCAATGAACTGAACAGGTTCTTCAATAGGTTCAGTTCAGGAACAAACCTAACATCCTCCTAGCCTGTCCCCAGCCAATCAGGCATCCCATCCTCCTCTGATCCAACATTTTCCTGTCACACGCCAGCTCTTTTGTCCTCTAACGCAGTCATGGACTCTTCTGGTTCTATAAATCTGTCTTCAACCAAGTCAGGAGATGCTGCTGCCCCATTTACCTCCCCCTCCCACCTATCTGTCTCTAGAAGTCAGGAGAAGAGGCAGCTGGAGAGACTGAACAGGAACAAGGCTACATGTCCAGATGGTGTCAGCCCCAGGGTACTGAAGGCCTGTGCAGAGCAGCTCTGTGGGATTCTGCAGCACCTCTTCAACCTCAGCCTGGCCCAGGAGAAGGTTCCAGTCCTGTGGAAGACATCCTGCCTTGTTCCAGTTCCAAAGAAAACTCACCCATCAGTCAGTTACGACTACAGACCGGTTGACCTGACATCCCACATCATGAAGGTCCTGGAGAGACTCCTGTTGGTCCACCTGAATAAGCAAACTAGGACATATCAGGACCCGCTGCAGTTTGCTTATCGCCATGGAGTTGGAGTTGAAGATGCCATCATCCAGCTGCTTCAACCAACCCACTGTCATCTGGACGAAGCAGGCAGCACTGTGAGGGTCATGTTCTGTGATTTCTCCAGTGCATTTAACACAATCCAGCCTGATGTACTTTGCCAAAAACTCCAGAAGACACAGGTAGGGGCCTCAACTATCGCCTGGATTAAAGACTACCTGACAAACAGACCACAGTTTGTGAGGCTGAAGAACTGCACATCAAACCAGGCTATCAGTAACATTGGAGCACCACAGGGGACTGTACTCTCACCATTCTTTTTCACCCTGTACACCTCAGACTTCCAGTACAAATCAGAGACCTGTCATCTACAGAAATACTCAGATGACTCTGCAGTTGTCAGGTGTATCAGAGATGGACAGAAAGCTGAGTACAGAGAGCTGGTGGAGCGCTTTGTGGCATGGTGTGGAAACAATCATCTGACCTTGAACGTGAACAAAACAAAGGAGATGATTTTAGACTTCAGAAGAAACAGGGTGGAGTCAAACACTGTTTCTATCATGGGAGAAGAAGTGGAGGTGGTTGAGGAATACAAATACCTTGGAGTTCACCTGGACAACAGACTGGACTGGAGAAAGAACAGCCAAGCTGTTTACAAGAAGGGACACAGCAGACTGCACTTCTTGAGGATGCTTAGGTCCTTCAATGTCTGTAGCAAGATGCTGCAGATCTTCTACAAGTCTGTTGTTGAGAGTGTAATCTCTTCAGCCATGTCTGTTGGGGTAGCAGCATCAGAAGCAGGGACCTGAAAAGGCTCAACAGCCTAATAAAAAAGGCTGGTTCTGTTCTGGGGACGACCGTGGAACCACTGGAGGAGATAATGCAAAGAAGTATTCTCCAGAGAATCAAGAAAATGATGGACAACCCTGAGCATTCTCTTCACAAGACTGTCCGACAACGGAAGAGTGTCTTCAGTCAGAGGCTTCTTCAGTTTGGCTGCAACACTGACCGCTACTGGAGATCCTTCCTGCCAACAGCCATTGTAATATACAACAACTCTTTGATGACTTGATTATTATTATTATTCTGAGCTACTACAGCAATCCATTTCCCTCTGGGATTAATAAAGGATTTTTGAATTGAATTGATTAAAGCAAACATTTAAACAATCTACTTAATGCAAGCATCACTAATAATGCATGCATGCATTTTGCTTACATAGACTATAAATATAGGATGAATGCTGCTTATGGAGAATTAAAAGTGCATGTATCAGCAGGGGCAGAATAATTTTGATTTTACCCTTTGGTACATTATTTAGGTCATTCCAGATTTATTAAAAATTAAAAGCATAATATATGTATTTTTTGAAGGTTTGTGTACTCTCTGATTTACAGTTTCAGTTATTTTGAGTATTCTGACAGCAAACATCCTCCACTGAAGGCTAAAAACCTGCATGTGATGTTGTCAGGGCTAATATATAGTTATGTACAGGTGACATCATGGTCAGTACTGTTTCTGCTGAACTGAACTCATGTGGAAAGGATTTATTTACTAAAACAGTGAGATTAGCTTCTCCATCCTCAGCTCCCGGTCCTTTTCTTATCCTCCTTCCTTCGTCCTCAATCACCTCTCATTTAGTTTCTATCTCTGTGGGTCCCTGCTCAGAGCTACCTGCCTGTTATTTCCCTGACATGTAAATTTGGGGGAATCATTGGAACGGAGCAAACCATTTATTAGCTGGGGATGATCTCATTTGTGTCGAGCAGGATGCCCCATTTCAGCATTACAGCACATTTATCTGCAGGAGGCTGTGTGTAATTTTCACTGAAGTAGTGTAAACTCACCGTTAAGATGGAGTTCCTCCTGAAATGAGTTTTAATCCTGAAAATTTACAGCATATTCTCTGTTTTCCAGCATGCTGTCAGTCAGCGTTCAAACTAAAACACATCTTTTGACACCCCATTTTGGCTCATCTTGTTTGGAAAAGAGCGCAACTTTATTAAAAAGCACCATCTTATTTAATCAAGTTGCCTCACAGCGTCTTTAACTACAACACAAAGTAATCACACACTCCGGTGGGTACCAGAATCCTCTTGGGGGGTCAAACGTGTATTAAAACAGCAATAATTACACTCTTATCATGGCCTGTTGTGTGAACTTGAACTACCCGAGACTGTAGGTTAAACTTTAAGTTCATAAGTTTGTTCTCAGCTAAATGACTTCATGTTTTTAGCTTCCCTGTCAGAAAATTATCAAAGTAATTAGTGGGTCTTATATTTATGAGTGATGCAGGCTCCTGCCGCTGATGTCAGGCAGAATTACAGGAAGTGTCTGGTTTGAGTCTGGCTCTCACTGCTGCTGATGTAGCTGCTCTCGTCTGTCTCAGCCTCCTTTTGCTGCTCTCACCCAATTAACTGTTAAAAGTGCTGTTTATCTCATCTATAAACCTCTGCATCAACATCTAATTTAGCCCTTTTGTCTAAGCAAGGCTGCAGTAATCAACACCTTTTGTTTAACCTGGTTCATCTGGAGTTCTCTGGCAGAGATGAGAAGAAGATGTGAGTTAAATACGTGCAGAGGAGAAAGGTGTTCCTTCTCCGCAGTCACTCTACGTTTTAAAAGTATTTTACTCTGATCTTCACGGCATTTACCCTTTAGCCGAGCATTGTGGTCATTCTAACTTGTTCCTCTGTTTCTCCTTCAGGCTTTGAGCTCTGAATTGAAGGAACGAGAGCATTTGGTGATCAGCACTTTGGACCAGGCCAGAACTTTTCTTGCAGATCAACCCATCGAGGGTCCTGGAGAGCCACGCAAGAATCAGCAGCCTAAGACTGGTTTGTTACACATGTTTAATTTAAAAACATCTGTTTATGTAAATGAGCAGTGCAAATAAAACATCCATATTTGCACTTTTTCAGTCGTTCACGTCATAGAAATCTTTAGAGTCTGAGATGAAGGATGCTGCATCTCACTCGTTCTCTTGTCTTATTCAGCAGGCTTTCTCGGTTTTGTGCATGAGTTTCATTATCTGTCTAAAAAGTGGCTCAGATGTATTAAGCTGATTGATTTAAAGTCAAGTGTGATGACAAGTAACGGACAGCTTGACCTGTAAGTCACTTCCTGGTGAGCGCTGTCGAAAAACCAGTCCCCATGGAACTCTTGGTTCCGTGGAAGAATCTTTTGGTGATCCAGGTTTTATAGAAATTTGGTTATGATAAAAAACACACACACACACACAACATAGATGATATCTATATTTAATTGTAGTGATTTTGTAGTGGACAGTTTTCATAAGAGCTCGTGTCTATTAGCTTAAAAACTTAACCAGATCAGGAAAATGTCCTCAGAAGTTGTTTTTTCGAAATTCCTTTTGCGCTGACATCAACATTTTAACGTGTTTAACAAAGCACAGTTTTAAGGCTAAGAGGCTCTGAAAGATGCTGTACAAATGTTTGACGTGGTTAAAATACAGATTAATAACAGAGGAACACAAATCCACCCATTCAGAAACTCTGAATAAACAATGCAGCTATAAGAGTTAGTTAAATCAGCACTTTTTTCTGTGAGGTGGGACTTTATGGTGTAAATAATGAAGCCAGCCTATGTTTAGATCACAGACCATTACGTTGAAGTCCACCCATCCATTTTCTTCCGCTTATCTGGAGTTTGGTATTTCTCAGTGGAAATAAACTGACCCGAAACTTAATGTAGGATTTCTTTATTGAGTGTCGGCAGAAGCCCTGAACCTGCAGGGTGAGTCTTCTGTTAGTCAGCCGTGTTTCTATGCAGGAAAGTGAGTGAGAAAAGGAGACTGCTGAGGTGCAACAGGTGAAGATGGTTTTTCAGTCTCTGCACAGGAGATGATACCTTAGAACTCATAAAAGCTGCTCATCTCTCTGCAGGTAAAATGGTATTTAAGGAGCCGTTATCTTCTTCGCCTGCTCCCGTCTCTCCGGCGGTATCCTCTGATCTTTAGCAATTACCCCGTCTTCTCACCTTTATCGCCTCGTGTCTCACAGGGTTTTCTTTCCTCATGGCCACTTTGGTTGGACCAGCTCCGTTCCTTCAGCTTAGTCTTTTACATCTTTTTGCTTCTTATTATTTTTGTACTGTAATCTTGCCTTGTGTGGTCCTAAAACCGTATTTAGTACTAACAAATGTCACCAAATATAGATTATGTAAAAGGTGGCGTTAGCCACAACTTTGCCACCTGGTTCATGTATCACTAATTTGAAGACTTGAGTTTGCTTTTTAGCTAACTCAAAACTAAATGACCACAAAACTCTGTAATGTGATGCAGGAACAGATGCTCTCATCAGCAGGCTGGCGCAGTGATGGAATCACTTGTGTGTTCCAGCAGATCTCACCCCAGAGGAGAAGGCCCGAGGACTGGCCCGAGCCATCCGCAAACAGACCGGTGAGGTGAGGGAGCGCTGGGACCGTCTGAAGGGACATGTGGGCGGCTGGCAGGGTCAGGTGGAGCGAGCTTTGGATCGACTCCAGGACCTGCAGAGCTCCATGGACCAGCTGGACCTGCGGCTGACTCAGGCAGAGGAGGCCAAAGCCACCTGGCAGCCCGTCGGCGATCTGCTGATCGACTCTCTCCAGGACCACATTGAGAAAACTATAGTGAGTTTGAACACTTTTATTTCTGTTTTAGCATTTAGTAATGCAATCAGATCAACTAAAAAGTTCAGGTGCATCAGCAGGATGTGGAAATGTTCCCGAAATTGTTCAGAAAGAGTGAAATGTAGATGAGTCATCCCTTAATAATTTAGCAGCTGTTTGATCAAAGACTCTGTCTGTGTGCTGTAGCACAATCGCTACACTCTTTCTATTAGTAGTAAGTAAGTAAGTAACTTTATTTGTATAGCACCTCTCACAGACAAAAAGGTCACAAAGTGCTTCACAAGTTAAAAGGCAACAACATATAAATACAGTAAAATACAGCCACAATATACATAGTGTCAAATACAACCAATCCGAATGAGACTAAGTTTAAAATGCCTGGAGAAACAAATGGGTTTTAAGATTGCTCTTAAAAACATCAACTGAGTCGATTGAGCGTAAAGACAGAGGTAGCTCATTCCAGAGCCTAGGAGCGACAGCCTGGAATGAGCGATCTCCTCGTGTCCTGAACTGAGTACGTGGGACCATTAAAAGGTTTTGATCCAGTGATCTCAGCCTGCGAGAAGGCGTGTAATGGCAGAGCATGTCTCGAACATACAATGGAGCCAGACCATGCAGCGCTCTGAAAGTCAGCACAAGAATTTTAAAATTGATGCAAGATGAGATTGGAAGCCAATGAAGAGCTTTTAAAATGGGGGTAATGTGGGCCCTTCTGTTGTCACGGGTCAGAATTCTAGCTGCACAATTCTGGACTTGTTGTAAGCGGGACAGCTCTTTTTTGTTTAGACAAGAAAATAAACTATTACAGTAGTCTAAACGGGATGATGTAAACACACGAATAATCAACTCAAGATCAACTTTAGACACCATTGTTCTGAGTTTAGAAATTTCTCTCAAGTGGTAAAAACAGTTTCTAGTTAACTGCTTTGAGTGATGTTCAAGAGACATTCCCTTGTCAAAGAAAACTCCAAGGTTTCTAAGGGTAGGTTTTACAGACAAACTCAGATCACCTAACTGCTGGTGAATCCCTGGAACAGCATTATCGGGGGCAATCACCAGTACTTCAGTTTTGTCTGAGTTCAGCCGTAAGGCATTTGCACCGAGCCACTGTTTGATTCGCTCAAAACAAGATAATAGAGAATGCAATTTTTTAACCTCAGAAGGCTTGAAAGAACAATACAGCTGAAGATCATCAGCAAAGAGATGATAGGAAACATCATTGGCAAACTCCTGGATTAGGTTTCCTAAAGGAAGGCTGTACAACAAGAACAAAACCGGGCCCAAAACTGAGCCCTGGGGTACTCCACACCGTAGATCAGTTGGGTCAGACAGGATCTGGTTGACTGAGACACTTAGGCTTCTCCCGAATAAATAGGATGTAAACCACGCCAGGACCGAACCTGACAACCCAACCAACTTGCGGAGCCTACTCAGCAAGATCTCATGGTTAACCGTGTCGAATGCGGACGAAAGGTCTAGCAAAACTAGGACTAGGACTATTAGCTTCACTCTCTTTGAGGATGTCCATGGTTTAGTGATATTTTTACATTTATACACACTTTTCATCATTTTTTTTTCCTGAAGAGGACATCCATGAAACAAGACATCAAGTTAACAAGCAGAAAAAAGATAAGGAGGAATGAATGATTCACAGGTTGCACAAGGAAGCACTACCACGTTAATGTTCCTTCTGTTACTGTACGCCTCACAAGATTGAGTGTGTGTGTGTGTGTTTGTGTGTGCGTGTGTGCGCGCGCGCGTGTGTGTGTGTGTGCGCGCGCGTGTGTGATGAACACTTAAATTTCCATCAATGTTGAGAGTTAAAATTTTCCCTCCAGGCCTTCAGGGAGGAGATCACACCCCTCAGTCAGGACGTCCGGGTCGTCAACGAGCTCGCTGCTGAGCTCACGCCGCTGGACATCCAGCTGTCGTCCACAGCCTCCAGACAACTGGACCAACTCAACATGAGATGGAAGTTTCTACAGGTAAATCCTCCCACCTATTAAGCTTCTTTGACCAGGAATACAGAAAAATTGAAGAAAATCAGAGAATAATAGTAAAATAAACAAAAAAAAATGCTAATCTTCAGTATTCCTGTTGTTAAAATTCTAATAAACAGGAAAAGCGTTGGGTATGTTATTAAAAACCTAAACTTTAGCTCTTTTTATTTTTATTTTTTCTTTCTAATCAAACATAAATGACCCAACTACCTCTCACTTCTCACTTCTCCTGCAACTGCTTAGCCGAATAGGCGAAAACAGATAAAATACAGAAAAATGGGTTTAACTTTGGGGAAACTTCAAATCTACGCTCTTACACATTCAAATAGTCAATATCTGCAGCATTTTCTATATAATTGCTCATTATAAACATTTTCTTTAAGCATCTTGTCCACTTTTTTCTGTCTTCTGGATATTTTTCCTCCTTTTCTGTCAATATGCTGTCTGTACTATTTAGTCAGCGTTGTCCCTCCAGCTCTGTTTCACTCAAACACAACTCTGTGTTTAAAGCAACACTTTGTCGCTGCTCTCACCGCACACTGAATTCATACTCGTCTCTTCCCTACAAGCCTGATGGTCTTGGTCTGATCCGGCGTGGAACCCGCTGAGCGTTTCTCAGGGTGGAACGTGTCTTACTCTGAAGGGAAATCCATCTCTTTACTCATCATCACAGGAGAAGAAAATGAAAGGTGGTTTTACAAAGACACAGCAAGAACACACCTAAGATGAAAGGTGGTTTGTTGTGAATTAGGAGCTGAAATCCCACAAGTTTGTGTTTCTGTGAGTAGTTCACAGATTTTAGAGGTTATTTTAGACAACAATTATCAACTTGCAGTATGTGTAAATCAGATGATCCGCAAAGCCGAAATAGCCACAAATAATCGGACCTGACTTGTTTTTTTAGGTTTTTTTTCTCTTTAAACTGGCTTTTTGTCCAGAGTGCCATTCCTGTTGTGTCTGCTTGAAGGAAGACTAATAGCAGCTTCAGTGACGTCATATTAAATGAAAGACAGATTCCCCCATGACAATCTTATTTCAGGTAAAATAGCTGCGCACGTTGCCAGAAGAGTGCATCAAAATAATTTACAGTTCTATTCTGAGGAAAACAGACATTTATAAAAAAAAAAGTCATTACTTTTTTAAGTGTGACAATGCCGCAGGGGAAATCTGTCGGGCTGGGCTAAATTGTGGTTCTCTGATGTGTCCCATGAGCACAACAGACGGCCATTAATGGCCCTTTTTTGCCATTAGAGTGATCATAACTCAGACACCGAGGCAGAGAAGGAGCGCTGCTCGTTTTTGTTCATTCTCTTTTGTTTCAGCCTACAGGAAGGCAGCAGCTCCTCTAATAAGCCTGGTCTGACTGTGCAGTTTGATGATTTAGTTTCATATGCAGACAGTCACCATCTGTCTTGCTGTGGTGTGGTGGACATGAAAAGCATTAGTGGCTGACCCTGGCCTTTCTGTGGCCATTACTGGATGCTGTGTGTGGACATCTGTGATCTTGCTGTCATCGCCCTTAAAGTAGCTGCAGGGATGCGCAATCCTATGTGTCATGGACAACCAATACTGTGCTGCCAGGTAAAAGCAGGAAAAAACATGCAATAAAGCAAGCAAACAGGCGCGTACAGCAGAGTACAGGTGTGCTATCCAGGATGTCGATGCACAGCGTTCAAAGGAGTTCTGCGGTGAATGATTGACCAAGCATGGAGCTTCATATAAACTGCTCCAAACCGTTTCTATTCTGAAATAGATATTTTGCCCATTTTGAATAATATTTCAGATATAAATGCACCTGCTTACCTCTAAATATTTTCTGCTTTCAATCTGAAACATCTTGTCTGCTTCCCATGACGCTGGATGCTGCTTGTCACCTGCATGCATGTGCATCACGCCCACTATAATCTAATTGTGCTTTCAGAGTTGTTATATTTGCTGTATTCCTTTTATACTGGAGATGGTTTAGTGGGGGGGTCGACTGAAGTTAATGAATTTAGGGCTATGACTCTGATTGTGTTTTACTTAGAGCTTTAAAACTCCCACGCTTTCCATTTCTAACCTGTAGGTCTTCATTAAAACATGATTGTTGCATCTCTGTCAAACAAAAAGATGCCACTTTTATGGTTTAAGTGTTATAATAATAATAAAAACAAACATGACTTTGTTTTTTAGGATGCTCTTTGTTGTATGTAACTGGTTACTGATTGGAGCTGATTTAAAATTTCATGAGAAAAACAATATTTTAAAGCTCTTATGGTGAATCTGCAAGGTTTTCAATGCAAACATGGTCATGGAACACTCACCCCTCTCCTCTGGTATCTTCCCTGAGACACTTCTGCCGGAATTAGAGACTCGTGAGGCCGGAGGAAACAAGATAGTGCTAAACACCAGTCGCTGTTCTATGTCCAAACATCTTGTCCGTGACTTCAAATGGTGTTTTTCTTTTTGGGACTCTGGTAGTTTGTCCTAAAGTTGAAGTGGTAGCAGCTGGCTGTTTCTCCTCTGATATTATTGAGCAGTGAACCTCTCACACCAGTGGTGTTATCTTGCTAAATGCGTGAGTGCGTAATGAATGGAGGACCTGGAGTTTTAATCTAGAGCTAAAAATAACACAAACTTTTATGTTTACGTTATCACCACACTAAGGTGAAATCATGAAAAGTCAACTTGAAAATGTTGGAAAAGTTCTCATTTCAATGTATTTATGTTTATGTTTATGTATTTAGTAGACGGTTTTGTCCAAAGCGACAGGTGATAATCAAGCCGGCAGGTTGCCCTTGAGGCTAACAACAAACGCTATTCAGTCAATCCTAGGTGGCAGCAAGACAGCATAATGAATCATTTTAATAAATGAAAGAGGAAAGCGAACAAGGAGTGAGCAGTAGAGTGGGAGACGGGTGCAGGGAGGGTACTAGTTTAGAAGATGCTCTCGGAAGAACAGGGTCTTCAAGAGTTTCTTGAAAATCGACAAGGAAGCCCTTGCTCTGGTAGTGCTTGGTAGGTCATTCCACATTTGTGGAACGACACGTGAAAAGAGTCTGAATTGTTCTGAACGTGGTGTAGGCACTGCTAGCCGACCATACCTTGATGACCGGAGTGGCCGGGCCATGATGTAAGCCTTTGCAAGAGGATTCAGGTAGATGGGAGCTGTACCATCTCGGACTTTGTATGCAAGTGTTGGCAATTTGAATTTGATGCATGCAGCTAGCGGTAGCCAGTGGAGATCAATGAACAGAGGGATGACGTGTGCTCTTTTAGGCCTTTTGAAGACCAGATGCGACGCTACATTCTGGATCATTTGAAGAGGTCTCACAGTACAGGCTGGAAGACCAGTTAGAAGGGCATTGCAGTAATCGAGGCGGGAGATGACAGTAGATTGCGCCAGGAGCTGGGTGGCATATTGTGTTGGGTATGGTCTGATCTTTCGTATGTTATACAGCGTGAAGGGGCATGAACGAGCACCAGAGGCAGTGTGATCTTTAGAGGTCAGCTGGTCATCAATCACAACGCCAAAGTTTCAAACTGCCTTTGAAGGAGCCAGAGGCAGGGAATCATTTTGGATTGAGATATTGTGCCGTATGGATGGTTTTGCTGGGATGACAAGTAATTCCTTTTAAGAGAAGTTGAGTTGGAGATGGTGGGATTTCATCCATCTTGATATGTCGGAAAGACAGTCCGAAATTCGTGCAGAGACTGGGAGGTCAAACGACGGGAATGACTGGAAGAGCTGGGTGTTGTTGGCATAGCAGTGGTAGGAGAAGCCATGTGATCGAATGATCTCACCCAGTGAGGTGGTATATATGGCAAAGAGAAGAAGTCCTAGTACAGAACCCTGGGGGACTCCTGTTGCAAGATGTATAAAAATAGATTTACAGTACAGGCCTAAAGTTTGGACACACCTTCTCCTTCAATGTGTTTTCTTTATTTTCATGACCATGACCATTTACAAAGGGGCCAACAAATGCTAAACACTTCTGCGAACCTGTTGGGAAACCATTTCAGGTGACTACCTCTTGAAACTCATCAAGAGAATACCAAGAGTGTGCAAAGCAGCAATCGGAGCAAAGGGTGGCTTTTTTTTTTGTGAAGAAAATAAATATAAAACAGTATTCAGTCATTTCACCTTTTTTTGTTTAAGTACATAACTCCACATGTGTTCATTCATAGTTTTGATGCCTTCAGTGAGAATCTACCAATGAAATGGTCATGAAAATAAAGACAACACAGGTGTGTTCAAACTTCTGGTCTGTACTGTATAAGATAAAGGAAAACATTAATATAGGCCTGTTTCCACTATCGGGACTCCTGGGTAATTTTACTGAACTTTGACGGGATGCGCATCTGAAAAGACCCTTTTTTTAGGCCATTTCAGGGACTATTTCAACTGGGGTATGTACTTAGAAATAGCCTGGTAGATTTGCTGAATGGGTCTTGTGGTTAGCTCATGCTGATTGATTGTTACTCAGTTGGAAATGACATCGGCAGACTTTGCCAAACAACCAGCATTTGAAAAATTGGAGAAGTTACTGGTGAAAATGTACAAATGGAAGGGAAAGAAACTAAGCACCAATAATTCTTTAAAATAGCCATTTCTAAACTTCCGAGTCCAAAAATACAACAGAAATCTCAAAACAACCTTATAAATGATCCTGCTTTGCGTTCTCCTAGAGCTCTGTGAGAAACGGCTTTCTTATGGTCATTAAATGCCACTTTTTACATCAACCAGTGCTCTCTTAACATGCCCCCTGATCGGCATATATATGACATACTTTCATTATTAAAGGCTTTAGCTGTGTGGGCTCCTTTTGGCGCTCATCAGTGACGTCACTCACTGCCCAAATGATCGCGATATGCTGACATCTTAGCAAATTCCTAAGATGCACAAAGGCATTGTCCCTGTCACTGTCCCCGCCTCCAGAAATGTCCTGGAACTCCTCAGTGGAAACACAGCTAATTATCTGAGTACAGTGATCACCATAGGCTTCGATGAGCAGCAAGACTCAGACCACTGCTGTGTGAAAATTCTGTGGGGTTGAGTTTGCAGCATGCAGTTTCCCTCCAGCCATGCCTGCCATGTTGTCTCATAATAACAGATACCGTTTGTGATGCGTACAGAAAGCAGTTTCGCAGCTGGACAAGGCATATTTGTCAAACCTGACAAGTGTTGCTGTATGCCGCTGACTTTGCGGTTGTCGATTTGTCCCGGTAAATCCACACGGTTGGCACAGATGCTCAGTTGTACGATGATTGATGCCTGATCACATCTCCTTTCTCGCTGAGGTCAGCCAAACACAGACCAGAGGCTTGGGTTTCTTGTAGATTGGTCAACATTGTGTAGACGTGTGAGGAAGATTTCATGTTGTTTCATTCATTACTCAGTCAGAGAGGCCAAAACTCTCGTCAGCTCACTTGAGGAAGAAGAGCTGCTCAGTCGGAGGCAAAATCAGGATTGTGAAAGTCAGCGAAGCAGATCAGAGCAAATTAGTGAGCAGCAGAGACAAGAGTACTTGGGAAAATATGAAACTTTATGTTTTTCTGTTTATAAAAGAAAGTAATGCATTCTTAAATTTACTGTAACATAGAATAGACACTTACTTCCAATGGAGGAACGTTCTGGAGTAATATGGAAAACCCAATTCCTTCTTAATTGCTCTGAGATTGAATTCATTCCAACCATGACATGAAGTCCAGCCAATGTGCTCACATCCTCCCATCTCACTTTCCTCCGTGTGTGTGTGTGTGTGTGTGTGTGTGTGTGTGTGTGTGTGTGTGTGTGTGTGTGTGTGCGCGTGTGCGTGTGTGTGCGTGTGTGTGTGTGTTACAGGTAGCAGTTGAGGAAAGACTCAAACTCCTGCGGGAAGCGCACAGAGACTTCGGCCCCTCCTCCCAACATTTCCTCTCCAGTGAGTATAGTTACCTCTCATGTGAGCAGGAAAAGGGGCGACCCTTGGATTGATTCCACCGAGTTTCACAGTTTCACACCCTCCCTTTCCTTTCCTGTTTCACAGACACGAAAAATTCAGTGACTACTCACACACACACACACATTAGTCTGAAGAGGCATTTAAAATAGTAAATTTACTGGCCAGTCAGCTCCTCTTGCTTCGTCATTAGCAGAGAAGGAAGAGTTGGAGGCAAATACAAGCATGAAAAAATCTGTTCCTGACTTTTTAATCATCATCCAGCCATCAGCGTACTTCCTGCTCCTCCTCGGACAAGAAGACAAAAAGTTGCGTGTGTGGTCGGCGTCACAGACACTCTCAAACTCCCTAAGCAAGCTCAGACCAGACAGTAATCTCCTCATATCTCTGTGTCGCTATCTCCTCCATCACACATCCACTCCCATTACACCAGTAGCTTAGCATTCCCTCAGGGATCACTAAAATGCTGCATTCTTATCTCACCCCATCCGTCTCGCATCTCTCTCTCTATCACTCTTCATCTCTCCATCGGAGTTGTGTCACGTGTGGGGACATTTTTACTGCCTATTGCTGTGAAATATGCCCACTTTTTTCCAGCTCTGCAGCAGATTTAGGAAAAACTTTGTATGTTATTGTGGAAATTTTAAATGCTGAACTTATTTCATGTGGAGCTTCGAACAGTCATGCTTTTAAAGATGTTGATTCAATTCAAGAGTTTTTGAGTTGATTTTTTTCTGTCTGCAGCATCTGTACAGCTCCCGTGGCAACGAGCAGTTTCTCAGAATAAGGTTCCTTATTACATCAAGTAAGTAACAAGGAATTGTGTGTGTTTATGTCTGTTACACAAGGGTGGACATGTGTTAATGTTTTCTGTAAAAACGTCTTTTTAACACTCCATTTCTTGTTTTAGACATTCATGTCTATGGTTTTAAACATTGTTATAAACATTATTAGAGCATCAGGGCCTGACTTTTGGTGCAGCGAAAGATGAGAAAACACAGAATTATGTGAAGTGGAGTATTTATTTTAGTTTTCTTTGGTTCTACGACGTTTTCCATCTGGAGTTGTTATTGTGTAAATGAAATCTCTGCTTCTGCTGTTAGATCCCCATTGTTGTGTTGATTTTTCACCTGCAGGTGTCACTTTTTAGCCGATTTAATTTTATGCATAAATTAATACTCAGTTCATGGTTCGTGCACATTCCTCAGCATAAACACCCGTATCCGTTTCAGCTATCTGAACTGAAACCTTTTCAGCCTGGAGGTTTCTTTCAGCTCTGGGTTGTTGTGTTTCTACTAAAACCAGTAAAATGCTATTTAAAGGCACTGATTGGCTTCACACTGAAACGCTCCATAAGACAGTTTTGCAACATTCATACGAAATAATTGGTTTTGCTCACAGCTCCCCAAATTGTCCCACATTCTTTCATTTTTGGACAAAATTAAAAGCTACTGAGAAACATTGCAGACACACCTACCGACATTTTTGAGATAAATCTTTTCATCATGTTCAAAATAGACATGAGAGCCATTGAGTTATATGAGGAAATTGAGAACTCTTTCAAATGTTTTGGAACACTTTTGAAACTCCCAATTAGTCACAGTTTGACCTACAACTTAAAGGTCTGAAGTCGTAAAGTAAAGCTGCTGATGTGTGTTGCTTCTCCTTTTTCAGCTGTAACGTGTTACCTTTAGTCTGACGACAGGTAGCTCTGGCAAAAGAAAAACAAAGTGGGATTCCTGCACCTTATGACAGATTAGATGCCGCCTGCTTAAATCCCAGGAAAGCTTACGCAAGTCTGCTAACTGCAGCTAGAATCTTTTCAGTTTCTCCTAAATCAGGTCAAAATCAGGTTTTTGTTTACACAGAAGTTGCAGCTTTTCAAAAATGTCAGCTGCTACCTAGCCTGCTCTCATTTATATAGATTTGTTTAGCTGGCAGTAGGAGGACTCTGAGTCTTTTTCTTCTCACTTCTTTCTGTTAAACTGTTGTTGCTGCTCAACTTTTTCCATGTTACAGCCCACAATAAAAGCTTCACTCATCAAAATTTTAGTGACAGTAACCCAAAAGTTGACTTAATTATGTTTTTTGTTGAATTTGTAAGTACGTTTGAACCCCAACCTGGTAAAATGGGATTTGGGTGCATAGTTGGGATTGTTTTAAAGGTGTGGTTGACAGAAAAAAACATTATTTTAATGTTTTTATGATAATAATCAGTCACTCTGAGTTTTTCATGTAGGCTGAACATGAAAATAGTCTCCTACACCTATCTCCTGCATTAGCTTCTGATAGAAAATTACAGAGAAACGCTGGGATTTGAAAATCCTCACAGATCTACATCACACTGTGAGCTAGCATTCATGGACTCACCCATCTTGACTCACGACGAGGAAGGCTGTTGTTGTTTTTATTGTTCGAGAATTGGCAGCGTATGTCTCGGCTAGTTCATGCTAACCATTAGCATTAGCAACGGCACCACGCAGCAGAACTCCTCCATGCTTGTGTTATTTGTGGAGATAAAACATCAACATTGCAAGTCAGTGGTAGAGTCGTGTTGCTGTTATCCAATCCGAGGCAAGATGTCTAAATATCAGGAAATAAGATTCCAAAACCTGCCGTCTGAGGCTCAGCTGTGATGTGAGCAAAGTTTAGCCCTCCGCGAGAATGACTTACAAGGCATTCATTCCTACTAGAGACCACTGCAAATGTATTAATTGAACAAGTAAACCACTACTTTAAAGGGGTTTTACACACAATCTTCCTGTTCCTGCGCTCTGAGTAATGATCTGAAATGTAAACCTCAAGCAGATCAGACAAAAGTATAGAACAGTTAGTGAATATTGCCACATCGCTAGGGTTTATTATCTTTGCAGAAAAATGTAGATTTTATCTTTCCACTCACAAAATCATAGATTTTAGCCCTAAAAGTTATCCTAGAACTTCTTGTGTTTGTGCCTGCAGCTCAGCTTTGGAGGCAATCAGAGATTAAAGCCAGCCAGCCAGCCGGTAACTCACAGAACAGGCTTCTTCCTTTTAGAGCAAAACCACAGCCTCTGATCACAGATGTGCCCAGCCAGTGAACCTACAGCTCTCTCTGCACACAAACACAACATGTGCTGTTTTGGACAAAACAATCCACACAAAACTCTGCTGTTGTGATGCATACGCTCACGCTTGGCTGCATAAGCGTGAAGATGCAGACGAAGTCCAACTGGAATGAAGCTTCGACTCAATAACCCTCTGTGAGCCTTCGCCATATGCTCTGCAGGTCCCTCCATGTGGACGATTTTCAGAGATGTCTGTGTAAATCTTGAAAACAGAAAGATGATAAAGCTGTTTTCTTACAGCTGATGTACGCCTCTGTTTGGGGCTTTCTTAAAACATTTAAATACCCTGCAGTGTGTTTTCCTCCTCCTTTACATGCAAATCTACAGTATACACCAGCCTGCCCCCCTCTCATAAAAATCCACTTATTTTCCCGCCTGAACAGAATTCTGAATCCATCTTCACGGCTCGCTTTCGGCTCTGCCGCGTTCTTGGGATTCCTGACACATTCATTCCCCTGAACTCCTCGTCTTCTCTTCCATCCTTTTTTCGTGCTGTGCTGCTCTCTTCCAGGTGACAATGGCCCCCTGATTAAAATTAGGCCTTTTTCGGCCCCCTGTATGGAGGAGTTCAGATGACAAGATGAAATCAAATGGATTCATGAGCGCCGGGTGAATAATACCTCACGCCGACTACGCCAAGCTCAGCCCCATTTCACATAACGTGGACAATGTGTCTCTCTGAATGTTTAGTTTGAGAAGTTTTAATCAGAGTCTGAAATCGTCTGCGGTGTCATTTAAAGGCTGTAATAAAGAAGGAACACTTTTCCAAAGAATAATAACAAAAGAGTCAGGGGGAAAGCGATGCCAGCCAGAGAGAGGCATCAGGTGGTGAAAGCAGGTATATTTCACCTGTCGCCGACTCTTCGTGATAAGCCTACCAAGCTGCTGTCAGTAGGAGGAGAAAAAAACCTTCCTGAAGTCTTCCTCTTTCTCTCTCCTATATTTCACCATTTTCCTTTCCATGGTGTTTCCAGACATGCTTAGACTCAGTCATCTTCCCACTCATGATTATTCATGCTGGCTTCTGAGCGCGTGACAATGACAAACTCCCACCAGCCAAGGAAATGTTTCGTCAGTCGGCTGCTGTCTGTGTTTAAATTAGTGTTTTGAACTTTGGCCATGCAGAGAATGTGGATGTTTCTGTCAAGAAACACGATGATTTTCTTTCTCTGCTCCTAGAAGAAGTATAGGTGTATAGAGGAGGTGTATTTGTGTTTATGTTGTAATGTAAGGGGAATCATTTTATCCTTCTACGATCCACATTAATGTTAGCCTAGTGAACTAGACCAAATTCTTGCTTTGCAATGTTTGGTCTAGGCATGCTCCATTGGAACCTCCGCAGCTCCTACCAGGACTCTGGCTAGCCAATCACAGCTCTCTAGAGGGGTTTCAAACACATAAAGAGCTGTGATTGGTCCATAATGGTGGGCCAATCATAGTGCTCTATCTGCTTAGTGAACAAATCACAGAGATTATCCGCTTTGTGGGCCAATCAGGGCACTCTATATGCCTGGTGGGTGGGATGATGCAACAGAGTGAAACAAGAGTATGTCACATTCATTGTCCAGTGGAATGCGGAGATCATTTGAAAGACAACGGTAGAACCCGCCCCACAACCGAGAGCCGTCAATGGAGCATGGCCAGACTAAATTATACATTTATTTAGTCTGGCTTGCCAGGCTACATTAATGTGTCACATTGATGATTGGTTACCAGGCCTTTCCACTAGACGCGTAAGCTTCACGTAACGTCAGCGAAGCATAGTACGCAGCAATTGGCTTCTGTCACAGTGGATAGGTGTGTTTAAACTCTAATTTTCTACGCGCTACGCTTCCAGATCGCATCAAGCTCAGTAGTTCAGATCAGGTCAGGCGGAAAGTCAAACACAAACGCGTTATAAAACGTTACCTGTGAAACCTCCAGCTGAGGTAAACGGAACAGAAAATTAACTACAGACCTTTTTGGACACACGCTGCCTCTTTCTCCTTGCTTGTTTTCACATGAACTGCCAAAATCGTGCGTGGTCTTTCAATTATTTTGTGACCTTGCAGGACCTGCTGCATGGAGCACATTTGCTGCCGTTTTGTGTTTGACACGCTGCCGCTGGGAAGGGAGCTAGCGGGTAAATTGGTTTATGACATTACGTGCCAATTGTACATCTAGTGCAGTGGACCTTAGTGGTGGCCAGCGGGCCACATCTGGCCCATAAGACCTTTCCTCCTGGACCCCCTACTCTTTGGACCCTAGCTCCCCTCAGCTGGGGTACTTTGAAGTTTAGCAGCAAACTTCATGTCCCAAATATCAGTAAGTGTTTACGTTCCCCAAAAACTCAGGATAATGTCTTGACCTTATTCAACGGCATCTCTAAAAGTCAGAAACAATATTTACCGATCTTAACACCCAACAGCTTCACGGCAGCTGATCGTTTTATTTTTAAGAAATCGACATAAAAATAACATTTTCATGCAGACATTAAAGCCACTGACAGACATAAAGAATATAGGATTTAGAGAAATAAAAGGAAGGATTGACAGCTGCGAAGCGTTTGCGGCTGCTGCTTGGCTTTAGTCTGGGATTGGAGATAAAAGCCACAGAGATGAGCAGCACTTTAAAGGACAGGTTTATCACTTTCAAGTTAACAACAGCCTGTGATCACAGATGTTCTCATCCAGTGGAGCTGTCAGGTTCACTTCAAACAGACTCTGGTGTGTTTAAATTCAGGCAGGCTGCTTCCAGAGTTACGTGCCCACTCAAGAGTTAGCTAAGAAAAAACAAACAGACTGGAACATCATTTGGGTTCCATTTATTTTTAGTTTAGAAGACAAAAATACCAACTATGTGATTTTATGACACTAAAGAGAAATTCTGTTTAAGAGTGTTGTTAAGATGTTGAGCCAGCTATGATTCACAAATGAATGAGTGAAAAATATCACCCCAGTCATGTCGTATCAGGACGTCTAGCCTTTACAGACATCTGGATTTTGGTGAGAACTGTATTCAACCAAGGAGCAGTGTGAAATCCATCCGTTTCCTATTTTATGTATGACTGCAATCTACGATAGCAGCCCTTACAGAGGCTAGTGTACTTGTAGCAACAGTTTTCTGAGAGATGGAGTGTACGATTCACTGACAGAAGAGTGAGCTGCTGATAGGTCTCTCTCGTGGGGAGCCTTTTTGTGCTTGTGTGTGTGTGTGTGTTTAGAAACTTTCCAAGAACAACCTTCTCAATGCTTCTGTGTACTGGGCCATCTGGTGCAGTGGTTAGACTGAAGATGATTGTACCGAACCACTTTTAATGATAAAAGAGCTTCTTTCTAGACTGGCAAGTAGACCTGAATCCTGCCTCAATATTTATTCAAAATGTTCTCTAATCACATCAAGTCTGTGCAGTTTAAACGAAGCATCAGTCTATTTAAGGTGCGCTGGATGACCTTCCTGAAGCAGTTTTACCATATTGTTTGAAATGCCCTTCACATACTGATGGCAACCAAAAAAAATACTTTTTTTCCAAAAATAAATAAATAATTTTTATTACCTCTAAAATGTACAATACTGGATAAATCTCATCCAACCATTTTGAATTGTGTGTCCAATATAAATGTTTGCCATGTGACTCGAGCTCTGTGAAGAAAAAAGCTCTTGCTCTCCTGTTTCAGTAAGTAGAAGTAAGACCGATGATTTGAAGTCTTATTCCTGATATTTGGAAATCTCGCCTCTGATTGGCTAAGAACAACGTCACTCTACCACTGACTCAGTTTGCTCTGCAGTGTTGATGTTTTTTCTCTACAAATAACACAAGCTTGGAGGAGTTCTGCCAGGTGGTGGAGTTGTTAATGCTAATGGTTACCTTCTACTACTCGAGACCAAGACGTGCTTTGGGGTCTCATTTATCAAGCATTGCGTAGAGTCCTTACTAAAACCGTACTTAAGCTCAGCAAAAAAATGTACTTATGCCAAGTAGGTTTGTGATCTATCAAACATGGAGTACGCACAGCTGCACGCAATCTCCGCTTCATAAATCGGAGACTAACGAGAATGTTTCTCAGCTGCATTTTAGTCACATCCCACCCTCACCACGCCCACTTACTGCCATAAATATTCAATGCAAAGTGCCTTGTGGACCTCATGCATATACATAAGCCGGCTTGTTGCAGCGCTCCGCCAATGACATGGCGACCGTAGATCAAGGCAGATCAAGGAAGCGCAATTTCACAGAAGCAGAAATTGAGGTACCTGTGGGTGAGGTGGAGAAATGAAATAAAGTGCTTTTGCGAAACAAATAGGAGAAAATCCACGGAGTGGCACAGCGTTGCTGAAGCCGTCAATGTTGAATTCTTCAGAGAGATCTGTGGCAGATATAAAAAAATGGTCCAATTGGGAATCGATCCCCTGACTTCCAGGTGAAAGTCACGCGCGCTAACCAGTCACCCAAATGGAGATCTCCCCTGTCCAAGTAGCCAGGGCGCATGATCAATCGGGTCACAGTGACAGGACACACACACACACTGTCACAGACGCATGACGTTCTGTCTCGATCTGTCCCCTTGCTGATATTCTGCATTCCGTATTCTGTGCTTCAGGCTGTGTGTGTGTGCGTGCGTGCGTGTGTGTGTGTGTGTATGTGTGTGTGTGTATGTGTGTGCATGCGCGCATGTGTGTGAGTGTGCATGTGTGTGCATGTGGGAGGGTCTTGTTCTGTGTGAAAACAAAGCAGTACAAGTGACAATGCTGCAGGATTTCATAATATTATCCTTCTCAGCTGCAGTACTGCAGGTGCTCTCCATGTCCAACATGTGTGTAATTCAGGTCCTTAGTCAACTTAATGTTGAGCACATTTTTTTGCTAAGTTTTCTAAAGTTTGTGTGGAAAGTTGCTTACGCAGTTTTCCGACCCCATTTTGTGCGTAAGCAAGCTTGATAAATGAGGCCCCTGCTCTCTCCTGGACGCTTAAGTGACTTAAGCGGCAGTAAAGGTCTATACAACAGGTCAAAAATGCAAGACTAAACCCTCAGGAACAAGCAGTGCGGGTTCCTGATTTCTGAAGGCGTGGCTTAGGGTGCATAAGGCTGAAAAAAGAGGGTTGGACCCAAGAATCGGCTGCTTTCTCCAGCAGCTTTTTAAGGAACTCCTATCCTACTTTTTACTTAAAGGATTTTTCAGTGACATTATTTCATGAATGAGTCCAGCTTTAGTAAATTATCTCAGACCAGATGAGTCGGAGCCTCCAGACCTCCGTCTCAGGGTTTATGTGTGAAAGTCACAGTAAATAGAAGCTTTATTAATGGGAAAGCATTCTTATATCCGAAAGACCCGGTTCTGTCCTTGGGTTCACTGAAGGTTCATTTCTGTATAAAAGGTTTTCAGTCGTCTGGCTGAACCCCTGAAAATGCAGTTTGCTCCTAATATTTCTTGTTTTTGTGCTTCTTGATGTTTTCTCTTATCTTACGTGTTTCAGCTTCACATTATTTGTGTCATTACATAACCCCCCCAAGACAACCAAGGAAAACATTTAGAGGAAAGGTTGATCTCGTTATGTTTTTATGAACTGTTGAAATAGTCTAATATTTATCTTTGTGGAAAATGTTTCTCTTTTATTTTTACCTGTAAATCTTTTTGTTCACATGTGAATGTGAGCTACTTATGTTTTAGAGATAGAAATGTTTTATGGAGATAACTTTAGGTCATTTGTGGTTCTCCTAGCTCCCATTTCCCCTCGTTACTTATTACGTTTGCATGAAGCAAACAGCAACAAATCCCCTGCACCGCAATTATTAAACCCCATTGATGATTCAGGCGAGTTCGGTGGTGAGAGGTGGTCCGAACGTTAGCAATGCCTCCCCAGTTGTGAAAAAGGTTATCAGCCGGTGCAGCTGCTGAATAGTGATGAACATCTGTGTACGAGCAGAGTGTATGCCACCCACGGCTGCAGCTCCACTTCACTTCCCGCTGACTGTCAGCAGAGAGTGAGCCGCTGCAGAATCCACAGGGGAACCGATACATTTATTTAAAAAAAAACACCTTCCAGAAAGCTTCTCTTCTGACATCCAGGTGCCGTCTTGAAATCTACACACACACACACACACACACACACACACACCTGTATTTCACCTGCAGCTTGAGGAAGAGTCTGGGCTTTTTTGTTGTCCTGTGCTTGTGAAGGCTGTGTTTGATCAGATTTGACATGCAGCTTATTTTATTTATTTTGTTGGTTTTTTCAACGTGTTTGGTTTGTGTTTCGGTGTTTGTGTGAAAACCTCTGCATAGGAGCCAGGTGCGAATAGGGACTTGAAACTTGGTCTCCATGTTTTTATTTACCGTGGCGTGTGAAAAGACTCCCTGTGGTGATGAGAGGGATTCGCAGGATGGGAATGTGCGCTTGTTGTTTTTGCTCTCTACTTTATGATTTTTGTATTGGATTTGTGGTGGAGTTTGTCGCCTCGGGCCATGAATCAGAAACTCTAGCAAGAGTCGCTAATAAAACCATCCACCGCTTTATTAAATGGTGTGTGTGTGTATGTGTGTGTTTTGTATTCTTTGGTCTAATCATTTGTTTTTAATTGTTGTATTTTTCAGTCATCAGACGCAGACAACCTGCTGGGATCATCCAAAGATGACAGAGCTCTACCAATCACTAGGTACCAAACACGCCATCAGGACGGTTGATTTCTGATTTTTGTCTCATCTCAAAAATATTTTTTCAGAAACTCGTGGAAATTTGGTTTTTACTAACAGGAAACACAAATCTCACCCGGTGTGATTGATTTGGTTGTGATTTATCGGCTTCAGTAGAAGACTGTCTGACAGTTACGCTCTTAGTAAATTGGTTTTAATCAAAGTTATCTTTCAAAATCAGCAGGATTGAAATAATGCAGAAGGTCACGACTCTCTAAAGTCCCACATTCAATTCAAAAATACTTTATTTATTCCAGAGGGAAATTAGAGTTTCAGTACACACAATTCTGAGATCAGACATACATTCATAGACACATGACAAGAATTGGTGACTGTGGTCATTCGCAACCCTGAGTCGCGCCACTGTAATAGATCAAGAGGGTTTATATGAGGATTGAGTCAGGGGGAGGGGAAAAAAGGTACTTCAGAGTTATGGTTGGTTTATGCTTGTCCGCGAGGTTCGCACAGCTCCGCACGGCGAAATTGCGTCATTTTAACAACCACGCCCCTCCACCGCGCCTCCGCACGGCCCAAAATTTCCGCACCGTGCACCTAGGAAATTTTCTAACCACGCAGACGGTCGGACGTGGAAAAACATGGCAGACCGGCAAGAACTAGTATGGCAGAGGTTCGTAAATACAGACATTTGTATGATTCAGCTCTCAAAGATCACCGTGATCAACATGTTGTTAATAATTCTTGGAGAGAAATAGCTCGCACTGTCGGAAAAGACGACGCTGTTTAAAATGCTGGAATGCCATGTTGTAAACAACAGTAATTTCTACTTCTACTATGGTGTAGTGTTGGATGCATGCCTTAGGGCTCCATGCTGCCTCTTCAGTTTGGGAGAATATTGGCTCACCGCAGAGACAAGCTGCATGAACCATAAACACTGCGAGTTGTGAAGTGCGTTCCATCCGCGAGCCGCATCACCAAGCGGAAAGTAAATGCGTCAACCATAAACCAAGCTTTACCCTCCACAGAGAGGATAGCTTTGCTATGCAAAAAAACACCTCAGACAGAAATGCACACAGACTTCAGACATCACACAACATAAGTGTCCACTAGGTGGGGAGGTAGGGTTGGGACTCTCCTCACTTTAGTGCCTGCAGCCGCATGGAACAGCGCTCATCACCTCCGTTTGGACAGGGGAGGGAGATAATGACTCCTAGATGCGGTTCCACGGCCTTCACCGGTCACATTCCCGCCCAGGCTGGGATGGGGAGAAGAGTTACCATAGCGACAACAGCATTCCACATTTTTTCTGAGGGGGGAGTTTTTACTTCAGCCTCACAGGCTCCAAGGGCACCATATCAGATAAGTATTGTTTTGGGGACAGACAGAGATAATTTCCTCTCTGCCTTAGAGTTCTGTTGGTCTTCAACCCCTCTAGATCCAATAATGGCGTAATTAATCAATCCCAATCTGTGCTGATCTGTCCACAACTCTGTCCTTGATGGAATCCACCTTCTGTGCCAGAGCCTGAATCTCAGCCAAAGTTCCAAGCTTTCGACTCATCTCGACAATTATATGAGTTTGTGCGTTTACAGCACGATGCATTCGATCCCTGAGCTCCGGGATTTAGCCAATATTCCTCAAAAGCTCGTTAGTGTTCCGGTAAGCCAGGTAACCGCTCAGGCCAAACAGCAGGAATCCCGACACCAAAACCACGAATATCCAAACATCTTCAGAATCTCTACAGAGAGTTGAGAGAGGCAGATCAGGTTCCACTGTTTCCAGGAGTCCATGATATACCCAGCTGGCTCTGTCCCAGAGGGGCACCTGGGAGCCCCTTCTCCCATTCTCACTGTTGAAAAAAATTTTGTCAATCGCGTTGAGAGACCAGCTGACGAGATCCATTTTTAATCATTTCCAGTTTCCAGACAAAATGCAGAAAGTGCCGTGCACAGACAGGACAAAGAGCCTTGGGATGAGGAGGGGGAGAGGAGAAATAAGCAACATAAGACTTATTTTCCTGTCCTCTCTCTAAAATGTTCCAGAAAGATCATTGACTTTTGTCTTTGTCAACCTAGTTTTTGAGAAAAAACTCACAGATGCTAGGGTGGAGCGATCATTAGATCTTTTACAGAAGAAGACATTAAAAACTAAACAAGTATAATAAAAATGATCAGGATTCACATATTAGAGTCACTGTTATCCTGCATGTTTGGAAGTACAAGATGCTCACGGTGCGTCTGCAAAGCTGTGCAGAGCTCTAATCCAGAACAAATGCTGTCATGAGCCAGAACTTAAAAAGCAGGCAGAGATAAATTCACAAACCCCCTCAAACGCTTAAGAACTGACAAAGCAAAGATGGCTACTTAAATAGACATTTCTGATTCAAACTGTGTTTCGGCCGTGCAGACCCTTCAGTTTATGCAACGCAGGAGTGATGATCCACCTCTCAGCTCTTTCACAGGAAGCTTTGATAGAGAATTCCCCACAGATTCGGGTTGCGAATGACCACAGTCACCAATTCTTGTCATGTGTCTATGCCTCTGTATGTATGTCTGATCTCAGAATCATGTGCACTGAAACTCTAATTTCCCTCCGGGATTAATAAAGTATCTGAATTGAATTGAATTTGAGATGAGTGTGGAAAGCAGCTTCAGGACAAACTGATGTTTTCTGTTAAAGTAAAAATAAACTTTAAAAGGAGGTTCTGTATAGGTGAGAATTGACATATCAGGAAGTCTGCTTTCCTAACAAGACGCCACAATGACTAAACTGTATGAACTGCTAGGAAAAGATAAAAGCTGGACTTTTTTTGGGATGTGAATCTCGCACAATAGCATAAAATATCAGAGGAGTTGTTTAGTTGAAAATATCCACATCACAAACAGCCTTAAGAAGCTTCTGCAAGCCTAAAGCCAGCAAGCCTGTGTCTGTTTTTAAGGTTCATCAAATTTAAAAGTAAAACTTCTTTACCATCATAAGCCTCCCACTGTCTTCATGGGTGACCCCGCGAGGAAAGTTAACCATTGAGCAGGGTTGATGCTGGGTGAGGTGGTGCTCACTCCTCACCCCTGCCACATGGACCCAAGGGATAAACCATCAATCCTGCTCAATGGTCACCTTTCCTCGAGGGAGGGACAGTGGGACTGTTCTTTAGTGAGCAACCTGATTGGACACAACCTCAGAAACTGTGGGAACAATTGCTGGAGGCCAGCAGCTCAACAAATAGCTACATCCTTCCTCCGAAGACAAAGCTCACCAGCCTAATTACACATTTCAGGTTTTTAGTCCTAAGACAAAAAAAAAAGGAAAGAAAAAACAGAAGTCAGATTTGAGTGAAAACAAAGATCCTGCTTGTGATGCCCTGCGGGTGATTTCTGTAGCATTCACCTTTCATCCCCTCGTCTCTTGCCCTGCCTGTAGCGGACTTGAATAACGTGAGATTCTCGGCATACAGAACGGCCATGAAGATCCGCAGACTACAAAAGGCTCTGTGCTGTAAGTAACACACACACACACAAACCTGTTACTTGCGTGGATCTTACTTAATATAGCATAATTTGGTGCACATTGGCATGATATAAAGTTTTTTTTCTCGCGGTGAGCTCCCATTTTAAGTTTTGATAAAGGCGGCTATTATTCACAGCCTCTCCCGTTTCCAGCCCCCCCCCCCCCCCCCCCAACGCCCCCACCACCACCACACACACACACACACACACCCCTCCACATACACACACGTACACACCTTTCCAAACACACACAGAAGCCCACACACTGCAGGTGCGCGCTGCTTCCTCGTGAGGTTCAGCCGGCGCGGCTGCTGCTACTTTGAGTCAGCGCGGCGTAATAATGGTGACGAATGATGCCTATTATCCAGATGTGGATGTTGTTATCACAACAGAACACCGAGCAGCCGCTGCTCATTTGCATCCTGCTGTTAGAAGTTTGTGAGAAAAAAACTACAATTCCTTGTGCCTTTTTTTGCAAAGCAGCATGCAGCCGAGTGACTCCACTGTTTGTTGCTTTTTAATGAGTTGCAATGATTCAGACATTTTAGTTTACTATCTGGGATTGTTTCTCTAATCGTGTGTGTGTGTGTGTGTGTGTGTGTGTGTGTGTGTGTGTGTGTGCGTGCGTGTGTGTGTGTGTGTGTGTGTGTGTGTGTGTGTGTGTGTGTGTGTGTGTGTGTGTGTGTGTGTGTGTGTGTGTGTGTGTGTTTGAAGAGAATGCGTCAGGCTGAGTGATTTGATGTGGGAGCGCTGTTGCAATTCAATTTCATTCATTAGATTAGAAGAAAAGCGCCTGCATGGCAGAGGGTTCAGTAGTTATTAGTTTGTAGCCTAGATTCATGAATATGTATGTTTACACGTGTGTATCATAAGGATGCTGTCAAATGGTTAATTGGGTTAAGCCTGTGTCAGGAGCCTGAAGGAGCAGGAATTAGTGTGGCGTCTGACTAATGTGCCACAACTTTTTCAGCTCCACATGACCACAAAGCTGGAGAGAAGTAAAGTTTATGCCATCCTGATAGCACAGCTGCCGTGCTGCAACTGCTTTGTGTGAATTACTCCAGTAATTAGTGCGGTCTCTGGAGTGGGGGGGAGGAGAGGAAAGCTTTTCCACAAATTAGTATAAAAAGCTGTCTCTGTCTTCCTTATCAGGAGCTAATTCCTGCAGATTTCACCTAAGAGGTCGTGATGAGGAGAAGCATAGAATTATGTACATCTGACTTGTTATGCGGGAAAAACAGAGAAAATATGTCAAATCTTTTTTATCTTGATTTTGAAGCTATAGAGTTTTGTGACCAGTCTGTTCGATTTTTGGACCGCTTGTCTCCTAAGATATATTCGTTGGAGAGAGAGCCACTTAACAGGACATGACGGAGATATTAATGAGATAACGGTCATCTTTGAAGATGTAGCGACCAAATTAAATTAAAAGAAACTTCACTCCTCTCATTCTGCTGGATTAATTTCCTCATTAGTCTTTACCTTCATATATTTCTAACATGAATATTTCACTATAATCATTTTTCAATAAAATATTTAAATCTCTTTTTAAGTTTGTGAAGTTTCTTGGCGTCTTTGTTCCCGTCTCTGTCTGCAGTGGACCTGCTGGATCTCAGCGTTGCCCAGAGCACCTTCGAGCAGCACAAGCTCACCAACAACAACCACCTGCTCTCCGTTCCCGATGTCATCAACTGCCTGACGTCCATCTACGACGGCCTGGAGCAGGAGCACAAAGACCTGGTCAACGTCCCTCTCTGTGTCGACATGTGTCTCAACTGGCTACTCAACGTTTACGACACGTGCGTGAGCCGTCTTCGACGAGATTACAGATCAGCCTTCATGTTTGTGATTTTTTAATCCGTCGCAGATTTTCCATATGCAGAACGTAGCGATGATGTAGGCGTGTTTGGTTGGAAAATCCAACACTCAGACACCGAGCAAGTGGTAACAAACATGTTCTTTATGTAACCACGCGCGCGCGCGCGTGTGTGTGTGTGTGTGTGTGTGTGTGTGTGTGTGTGTGTGTGTGTGTGTGTGTGTGTGTGTGTGTGTGTGTGTGTGTGTGTGCGTGTGTGTGTGCGCTCAGATTACTGAGGAAATGCAATTAGACACACAAACATAAAGGAATACCAGCAGCGCATACACACATGCGCGCACAGATGAATGCCCTTTTCCTCTCCAAGCACACAACGATTTTCTGTCGCTGCTCTTCCACACAGCTCCAAATCTGAAATTGGTAGAACAAACATAAATATAGTGGATACACATAGGCCTGCTGGAAGTACAACTACGATGAAGCGTTTGCCACGTTTGTTCTTTCTGCAGTGGTCGCAGTGGGAAAATCCGCGTCTTGTCCATGAAGATCGGCTTGCTCTCGCTCTCCAAAGGACACTTAGAAGACAAATACAAATGTGAGTGAAAATGAGTAGGTGATGTATTTACTGTTTGTACTCATGCCCCCCTCCCTAATGTACTTTAGTCTGCAGCAAGTGGTCCAGCCCACGCTTCTCCGCCACAGCTGTAATCCTTGTAGTATTAATCAAACTCAGAGAATGGTACGTCTAATTGGATGAGAGACCTCCTACGTTTGCCCTGTTCTTTATTTCATTCTGCTTTCTGATTTATTTTTGAGGATTAGAGAGCGAGAGAGCTGGTTCCACTGGGAGAGGACGTGTCAGTCTGGCTTCCTGCTCTTTGTCGCTGCTGCTTTATCTTCCTCCGTCTGTCTGCCTTCGCTGTCACTGATCGCACTCTTGTTCATCTGTCTAACAGTTCCACTTTGTCTGTTGTCCCATCTTACTTACTCTTGCTTCCCCTTCTCCTGCCATGGCTTGAACCCCGTCCCCGAGCCTATTCGTTTCACTGGCAGTTTCTATTAGCTTGAGAAGGGTATCAAGCACGCTTGATTGCATTCTTCCTCCTTTACTTTGTTAGAGTTTCATTTACTGTCAGTCCCATGCATACGCTCCCCCACTGCACACCTAACGGCGCACGCGCGCTGCGGTTTGACACACGGTTGCAAATGTCATATTTAATTGTGCAGAAGAAAGTGTTCAGCTGAAATTGAGGGTGCTGATTAATCGAGGTCACAAGTGCACGTAATTGCGAGTGTGGCCGCGTGTGCACACAGAAGCTAGCATCAGAGCCAGGCGTCATGTGGCGATCAAAGACGGCTGCAAGCACGGGAGCAGAAAGACCCGTCACTCTGTTACAGGATTACCCTCGCTGCCCTCTTCGCTCAGTTAGTGCAGAGGCTTTGTGATGTTTTTTTTTTTTTACCTTATCAGGAAAAACTGTCAACATCTAACATGTTGTCACTGGGCAGAAATCATCCAGTACAGCTCTGTCAGTCTCCGTAAGACGTACAGGAGAGCTAGAGGCCAGGAAGGAAAGATTGCTGATGATCTTGGACGTAAAGATTAAATATGAATCTGCTCCTCTGGTGCTTTTTATGTCCTCCCTTCCAGCTCATTGTCACACGCACAGACGACGACTTGTTTCCTCCTACCTGCAGCTACACAGTCACTCTTTCCCTCTCTATATCTACTTATACTTGTCTTTCCCCATCAACTTCACCCACATGCTTGTTTTTCTCTACCAATCACTCTTCCCTAATTCCTCACTCTTCATTCTCGCTTGGCTTCACTTGTCCACAGGTCTCTTCAGCCAGGTGGCATCAGCAGGCGACACGTGTGACCAGCGACAGCTCGGCCTGCTGCTCCACGAAGCCATCCAGGTCCCGAGGCAGCTGGGAGAGGTGGCGGCGTTCGGGGGGTCCAACATTGAGCCCAGCGTCCGCAGCTGCTTTCAACACGTAGGTTCACATTTACCGTTGTAGATTATTCTCCTTAAAGAAAAAATAATTTAGAAATGTTGATCATTTATAAAGGACCTGGGGTAAAGGGAAGCAGAGGCGGCCATTTTGTTCTGCATGTTTTCAAATATGGTTTCAGAGATTCCCTTGTTTGCGATAACACTCACTCCTAGCAGCCATATGCTAAACACAATAAATCAGTGATGATTTAGGAAATTCCCAGAAAGACATTAGTCATTTTTTATGTTATAAATATCTATATATATATCTTTTATATAATCTTATTCACCTGTAAAATCACAAGGTTAGGCCCGTATAAGACAAAATATTACCATTGGCACTATGGAGGACTTATTTATTCATAAATATTTGGTATTCTCTTGAGATATTTTTTAAACCCACAAATAAGATGCTTGGATTCCATGAAATCCCGCCTTCACCCATGTGAGTTCCACCCATTTCATGACATAATCCTAGATCTGCAACAAAGCATCATGGGCAATGGAGAAGAAGACACAGAAAGCAGCCATGTGAAAATAAAAGACATCCCACTTTTAAACACAATGTTTTCACCACATCGGGCACAGCTTTATTATTGCTTTACTCAACATTGTAACCATCCAGCTAGCGGTTAGCATTTTGGTTTTAATCACCATTCTGACATTGGCATGGCACTGGTTTGAAGATGTAATCTGTCAGAAAAACCACTCTGGTACTGGTGGAGGGTTATCAAGCATGGTGATCACAGACTGAGCTCGAGACGATGCAGCCAAAAATGCATTTTCTCAATGTAGTCATAAATAAATGTGCAGACTAGAAAAGAAAGAAATAACTTCTTCACAACCTCATAGATTAAATCCCCCAGTAACAACTCTGAGAGAATGGGTGTTAGTGTTTACAGTCCAAGGGAGGAGCGTGCAGGTTCGGCACTTCCTTGATGGGGAGAGGAGGCACAGAGTGATGCTTACATACTCCATTCAGCCATTTGCAATAGCTAGGCGAATCAGTAGCAGATCTGGGATTCAAGCGTGAAGCCAAAAACTGCTTTGGGTGTTTTTAAAGACGATAGAACAAAATAATGTGGACAAAAACTTCAAAAAGTTGATTTTGTATGTTGTAGTCCCATCAGAATAACTTTACACAAGTCTTTCTGTTTTCTGGTCTTGTGTCGTAATCCTCTCAGGTGCTTCATGATTCACAACATCTTGTAAAAGCTGAAGTCATAAATTAGTTCAGTTTCATCCAGCTCACTAAACCACGGCTGTCTCTCTCAATCCAGTAAAATGGTCTTTAATACTTGAGCTTCGCTGACCAACCATGAATGGCCTTTACCTGTTCTGGCTGTCCTCTATTGTTTTACTGCAGCCAGCGAACGACTCTGCTCGGGTTTATTTCTGGATGTTACCAACATTTAATGATGTCCGTCCCCCCCCCACCCCCCCCACCCCCACCCCCACCCCCCCCACCCCCCCACCACCACCACCACCACCACCCCCACCAGTTCATTGCTGTAATTTTCTCACAGTTTCATCCTTCGGCTCATGATTTGCCGCTCCGTTTACGCGAGCCAGAATCCATAAATTTAACTGATTTCCTTCACTGCACCTCCAAAAATAGCAGAGTAGGGCTGATTTAAACTCTGGCTGATGTTATTTTCATAAGCACACAGACTTGGAGTCAAACCGCATGCACATAAATACAAACAAATAGCTCACAGACTTGGTCATGAATCTTTATGTCAGCAGTGGTTCAGCCATTCATTAATCATTCAATCATCCAACCATATTTGGCAGGTAGAACCCAGTAAAACACACAGAATCCTCCTTGTCTGATACACCATTTCAGACCCCCACTTCATTTGTTTTTTATGAACTCTGTCATAAATGTAACAGCTTCCTTTGTCCTTCTGTCACTCATCCATCCATCCATCTATCCAGCAAGGCTGTAATTAATCTGTAAGTGCTATACGATGCGAAAGAGGAAAGGGACAGGTGAAGATGGAGCTTATGTAGATGAGAGGAGAGACAGGCAAAGGTCAGTGGAAAAAAGAAAACGTGATCTGGAATGCGGTTCGTTTGAAGAATTCAATCAAAGTAATCTAACTTCCTAATAAAAGGATTAAAGCTCTCCTCACATATTTTAAATGCACATTTCTATTGTTCATATCTATTGTGTAAAATCAATTAACTTTTATGATTGACCTAAAGAGTTAGAATTTCAGGTACTCTGAAAAAGTTTCTTAAATAATACAAAAGAAACTTGATGCTTTACCATAAGTGAAGGAATCTGAATATGCAGCCATGTAAGAACAATAAACTAAGTAAACTAACCTGTCAGATAAAAACCAACCTTACTTAATTGCATCTAAATTATTTATAAAACCCAGTCTGAGAATAAATCTTTCAAAACAATGTTCTCCTGCCTCTACTGGGATTATTTAAATATTTAAATGCAGCTTTAATTAGTTTATTTCTGCAGAAAAAAGCTCACCGAATTTTGAAACATTTAAGTTTTTTTAATACCACTTCACGCTCCGATTTATGGTCTCTAAATATCTGTATATGTCAATCCATTTGTTTTACTCAGCACCATCTAGAAAAACTTGTGTAATCTCCCAGAATGAGGAGATTACACAAACAGCCAGCTGTCAGGTATCTGCTTGTTATATTTTGATGACTTGGATCAGGTAATGAGTTCTGCAGCAGGTTTTCACAACCTAAGCACATACAAATAGGTCAATATACGGATAAATGCAGCCAAGTTGGTTTTGGTTGTATTTATTTAATTTAACTGTTAATGCATCTGATTATGCTCTTATTTTGAAATGTTGTTTTGACGTTACAATGTATGGTACCAATAATCTCGTAAAATATCCATCCAGTTGTTGTTGAAAATGAATAAAATGATGCCCAGTTGTTGAAAAATATTAGTGGGTTTGTAGCATAACCATAAAAATCAGGTCTAAAATACATGGGAGAAGGTCCAAGTCTCTAGTCAACGCCATATTAGACACCATGTTTCCTTCTACGGGAGCTTGCAAGGACAAAATCCATTTACAGATTTGTAACAAGCGGTTACAAAACTTTCACCAGTAATAAACATTTTTGTTATACACATTTACCTCTTCACTTGTTATCAGTGATTAAAGGGAGTCTGATGTGCTTATCATTCTGCTGGAGGTTGAACAATTTGATAAAGTATTCCTTCGAAAATTGCACTCCCAGTAATTTTTGACCCTAATGGCTATCCGTACTCAAACACCAAAATACTGCTTGCTTGCGATGATTTAGGTATGTTCTGCCCCTGTCGCCAGGAAAAATACACACTATCACTTTAAGTTCCATGTTTTCATTATTTTGGGTGATTGCAAGAGCTTATAAAAATGACTTTAAACTTAGAAAAAAGTTATTTTAAACTTGCTAAAAGGTCAAACTATCTTAACTAGTAAAGTATAAATATACAGCTGGAAACATTTTTAGTTTTGTGGGATTTAAGAGCACAAAGAAGAGTTGGGAGATTCAATTTCCAGTAGTGCTTGCAACAATAGAAAAAAACAATATAATTTTTAGTATAATTAGTTTTATAAAAGCATTTTCACCTAAAATCATGTCCCATGTGACAACAAATTACATTTTTTACAAAATAACTGTTTATTCTGATGTAAAATCAGATATTTGATCCTACATTCAGGAATAATTTGTGTTTTAAGTTGAATTACAAGCCAGCATTTATGTAGGATTCCACATACAGACCTTGGAAATGGCTTAAATTATTCTCTTCTCTTGTTTTCTGCCCTTTGCTTGATTTGCTGCCCTTTTTGTTTGTCGGCGTTGATGGAAAGGTTGCCTTTGATTCATTTTGGGGGACGTCCCAGAGCTTCTCACAATGTCAGCTACTTTAATGAGCTCATTGTCATCCTAATGTGCTTAAAAACAACACGGTGCTGCATGTAAAAGAGTAGAAACGTTGCATGTGCATGGAGATGGAAATAAAATACTAAAATAAGGTGAATGTTACATAAGTAGTTACACCTCGTAAAGTTTAGGAGTAGGTATGGTTTATTTTGTGTGTGGTCAAATGGTCAGTATGGTTAGCTAAAAGTACAGCTTTTGTCATATAGGATGAGGACAATGAGGCTGTTTTCTTTATAAGCTTTTTCAAGCAATAAACAGGAATAAGCTGCTCATAAAAGTTATTTAGTCTCCGCTCACAGCTCAAGGCCATAACGCGTCTCGGGGACTCGTCATTTAATATATATGGTGGTCTTAAAAATTGTCTGCATGCTTATTAGGAGTTTAGTAAAGAGTTGCAGCCGTTTACTGGATCTGCATGTTTTTATCTCGCACCACAAAGCACCTTTACAGTTCATCAGCTCGCTTTGTTGAACTTTTATGGAAACGATAAACATCACGCTTGATAGACGTCTGATTCATAGGCTCCCAAGTCTTGACCGTGTGTTTTTGAACAGGTGCACAACATGGTGGAGATTGAGCCTCGACAGTTTGTCGACTGGATGCGTCTGGAGCCTCAGTCCATGGTCTGGCTTCCTGTCCTGCACAGAGTGGCTGCTGCAGAGACGGCCAAACATCAGGCTAAGTGCAACATCTGCAAGGAGTGTCCCATCGTTGGGTTCAGGTACAAAAAAAGAAAACAAACGTTTTTTTGTTTAACGTGTGTCAGAGTGTCAGGGTTTGTGAAGCACAAAAACTAAATATGTGATTACAGCGTATTGCTGGTCAGACACACACACACACACACTTATAGAGAAAATGTGACATTCTTCTGGGTTGTCCTCTCTCGAACATAAAGGCCAGATCTGCTCTGGAGGGCAGGCATTTATCTAAATGTCAGCAGCTGATACACTACTGAGTGAATACCACGTGTAGGGTTGTAATAAAACACACAACAATCACAAAAAGCTCCTAAAAGACATCTGTCTGATTCTGTCTCCGTTTAATGCAAATCTGAATTCTCACACGTCGGTTTCTGTTATTTGCCCTTAAACTGTAACGAGGTAAATAAAGATCAACAGCTTTGTTGAGCTCTCAGACAAATCTCTGGGTTTATCTTCAACTGCTCGAATGGAAGAGCTTGTCCCGATGCTCTGAGACGAGCCCACGCCACGCTAAGAGGAGCAGGACGTTTTCTCCAGATTCGTTGCTTCGCACGCAGAAAGGGAAACACATTCAGACCTTTGATGAAGCACACATCGCCCCAGTTCTGTCAGTGATCGATGAGAGCGAGCGATAGTGGGAAGGAAAGGCAGGAGAGTAAGAAATGAAAAGGCAGGGAAAATGTGCAGCATGCATTTCATCTGGTCAGAAGACACCAGGCATGAAGCAAGAAGACGGTTTGTTTTGTTCTCTTTTTAAAAAAATAAAAACTTCTTCTTTTTTTTTTTTTACCTTTTATGATTGTTTCATTGAACTAAAACAAATGATTATTGTTGAACTATCATCCAACAGCACATTGAAGACATGGCGGAGCAGAATGTGTTACTCAGACAAGTCTAAATAAAGTTAATTCAAGAGTTTCTTTACCTTCGTGTTTCTGTGTTGGGTTGGGAGGAGCTGGAGACGATTAATAGCTGTTAGAAATATAATCAAAATACATTTTAATCAATTAATCATTAAAAATTAAAACTAAGTAAATGAATGTTTAAAAATTAAGCTTAATGCTTTCATTTTAGCACTTTGTGAATAAAACTAATAAACAAGCTTACAGAGATAAGAGTTGCCAAAGAAAACAAAAATCAGCTAAAAGTTATTGAGGAATTCACCGTTATAAAGCAGCTGGTTTCTGTGCAAATGTTATAAGTTGGTATCATAACACCTGTCATGGATAGCTCTTTGAACAACCTCAGTTTAAGAGAAACAGTGATTATTGCTGATTGATAATCAGGCGCTGTTACTGCCAGCTCTAATCACGTCTTTTTACACCGGCTGTTTTAATATTTTCACTCTTTAGGATAGCGTCGAGTCGTTATAGGAAAGAAATGTCCCACACCATTTCTAGTTCTTTTCTTTCACAGTTTAGTAAAAAAAATAGTTTTGTACATGACGGGCATCTCTAGCCGTCATCAGAGACCGCCGGTGTTGGTGGCATCACTTTCTTTATTTTTTGCTAAACTGTTTAAGAAGAGAAGAATTAATCACATCAGTCCAGCAGTTCTACGTTAGCTAGCCCCACTGCTAATTTTAGCTCAGATTGACGATAATATTCTAACTTAATAAACTTAGAATAATTTAATTAATAGAAAGGTAATAAAAAGCACACCAGACCTTCTGTGAGTTCAGGGTGGAATTATTTTTTTATAGAACCCAACTTCAAACAATTTAAATTATTCTTTTAATTTCACCAAATATATTATTTGTTCACTGTTAAACTTCAGCTTGGATCACTTTTTTAAAAAGTTGTTATTAGTGCAAACTTGATGAAATGTAATTTGGAATAAGAATAAGAAATACTGTGATTTCCTGACTATAAGGTGTTGGGTAATTTGTATTTTCCATAACCCTTTACTTGAAATAAACACACCAAATACAAAGAGGAGTTCATTTTACACTGTCTCACCAAACAGCGGAGAGGCGGCGATGCACAACTCCCTCCGGAGCTGTTTCCATCACACCCCCCCACCCCACCCCCCACCCCAGCAGCTCAACAGAGGTTTTTATTGAACAATGGGATGGAGGGCGGGCCTTCCTCGAGTTTCAGAGTTACAGACTCATCTCCTAGGAAACCATATTCCAGAGATAACAGCACAGCAGGCTTACAGAGGAATCATTTACAGAGGAATTACACACAGTCAAAATACACACACAATTCTTCAGCTGACCGGTAACTTAACACATATTGTTGGACCTTCATCTTGTCTCATGAAGTTGGGTGATCACAGTGGCCATTCTTCACCACTCTAAAATGTGATCAAGGAAGATCGATGATCTTTCGATCAAACAAACAAATATCATGTCCTGCAACGTTCTTCTCAAAAAGGTATATAAAATACAGAAAAAACCTATCATAAGGTGCCCCTGAATATAAGCCGCACCAGCTAAATTTGAGGGAAATTAGAGATTATCCCATATGTAAGCCACAAGTGTTTTAATATTTAATGCTATCTTTCCGGTCAGCTTGTGGGTCCCCGTACACGCAGGTCGAAACCGGAGTAGCTGTAAAACATTATCGTTGGTGTTTCTGTTTAAGTTGCTTGTCAGAATAAATGGAGCATTTGTAAATCTCCAAAGACGAGCGGTGTCACAGCGATCCTTCAGCATCGACCCGTAAAACATGGAAGAGATCCGGTCGCACCTTCGTTGGTTCAGCTGTAAGAAGTCCAGACGGCTGGTTCTGAAAAGGTCGTCCACAAAGCTCACTAGCTGTTTCAAACGCGTATCTGGAAGCTTTATGCTCAACACCGTTAGCTTTAAGATGTTTATTTATTTATCTTTTGTTCAACTGTACAAAGATGTTAGATAATGTAAAGTGGTAATATCTAAATCCACAGGTTTTATTTTGTTAGCTTAAATTACGGAGATACGGCTCTGGATAATGACTGGAGATGGGGTTCTTGCCCTCCTTCCTGTGTGGATGTGTGCAGCTACCTGGATATAAGTAATATGTTTCAGTTGGTCTATAATGCGCCCCTGTAAGCTGTACAAATATTATAAGCAGGGTCCAAAGCAAGTGAGAAAAGTAATGACTTATATTCCAGAAGTTAAAATCAATGTTTCTCATATAAGACTGCACAGGTCCCATAATTAACCACAGTTGTTTGATAGATAAACTAATTATTTCGGGGCCAGCTCACCCCCGGAGTGAAGGTGACTTAACGCCCTCCCCTCATAGTAATATGCTGCTTGTCAGAGTCTAATGGCATATTTGACTTAGAGCTGTTGTGTGCACGGTTGCATCCTTTGATGTATCGCTGCCGTTTGTAGCTCATCAGTCAGGTAACCTTGGGGAGAGCTGGGGAGATAAAAGATAAAAGACTTAAGCTATTATGTCTGAATGACTCCTGTCTGAATTTAGCTGTTAAATGGCATTCTGGCTCCAGCTGCTGCTGAGGACGGTGTCTCAGTCCTTGTCAGGTTGTTGTGTTTGGGTGAGACTCCCAACAGTTCATCATTCTGCCTGTTTGTTGTGTGTTTGCGAACACGAGGAGGATTATGGGACAGCTTCTTGAGAAGAGGAGACAAACACAGACCTCGAGGGTGTAAAGGTTCTTCCAAACTCGACTGTTCACCACTTCCTCCTGTGTCTCCGTGTAGGTATCGCAGTCTGAAGCATTTCAACTACGACGTTTGTCAGAGCTGCTTCTTTTCCGGGCGCACCGCCAAGGGCCACAAGCTCAACTACCCCATGGTGGAGTACTGCACACCGGTGAGGACGTAACACACACCACCGCTCACGTTTATCTCTTCCCAACACACTCACACACTCCACTTAACCATTTAATGAAAGCACGCAGACACACACTTTCAGGCTTTGGTTAGCTCCTATCCCATCCTAATGTTAGACACACCACTGACTCCTCCAGCTCCTGAATATTAATTCTTCTATTATGCATGGTGAGAGACTTCTGAGCAGATTTTAGAGTTTTAATTAATATTCTACTCTCGACACATGCTGTTCCTTTTTTTCTTTATATCTAAAATCACTTTACTTCCTTTATTGCCTGGTTTGAACCATTTTTCTTCATTAATAATCCAAAACTCGTCTGCACCCTGCAGGAGCTAAAACAATGTTCTGTGTCCTGGGAAGCCAGTCAACATGTTTTGGATCTTGGCTGCAAGGACTTTTCACCAACCTCCACCAGCCTCAGTCATGGTGGCCAAACCAGAGAGCTGTTGGCTCCTGTTCCTACAAAGATGCTGGAATGGATTTATATAGCCCAGTTAGTGTTCTTCCACACCAAGCAGGTGTTGGACCTCTCTTTGTGCATTTGGATTATTGTCTTACTGAAACAAAGAAACAGGAATGAAGGACCTTTTTTCATTGTGATGTAAAAGTATCTCCCAAATCAGTTTACATTTCTCCTTTAGACAGGCGAGAAATGTTTTTTATGTTTTTCAAGTTGGAGTAAAAATGAAAAAAGTCTGCAGAACAAGCTGGGTTTTGAACGCCAATACGGTCACGGAACACTCGCCCCTCACCTCGGGTTTTGTCCCTGAGACGCTTCTGCCGGAACCGGAAACCCGCATTGTCGGAGGAAACGAGAGATCGCTAAACACCGGTCTCGGTTTTCTAGGTCCAAACATATTTTGTTGTCCGTGACTTTAAATGGTGTTTTTCTTTTTGAGACTCTAGTAGTTTGTCCTAAACAGTGATGCCAGGAACACGTTACAAAGTCATGTGTTACTCTAATATAACGTCATTTCTCGGTTAGACTAATCTAGCGCGTTACTATTTCCATATTAGTAATCAAATTAGTTACTCGTCCAAGCCATTCTGCGTTGTTTTATCCTTTACTCTGAATTTTTTCTGTTTAGGATAATCCTGAGTGAAGGAAATATAATGTGGCAGAGGAGGAGCCAAGATCAGCTTTGCATAATGTATTTGACCAATCAATGCACACTTTCCTTGCACAAGGGAAGCAGTGTATTGCTTCACCAAACAATAGAACGGCACCGCGATGCCATTTGTTGGAACATAACTCTCACTCGTGGTGCAAAATTAAAACCAACAAAAAAGCACAGTCATATTACTGAATAAACGACTAAAAACATCAAACACAACCCTGCAGTAAAACCCCAACAAAACGCACAATAAAGAACATAAAACTGGAAAGCTGGCTACCCATAATGCACTCTGGAGCCACATGCAGCTCTTTCATCCATCTGATGATGCGGCTCTCTGCTTGTAAAATAATGAATGAATATTTAATTAAAATATATTTTATTTTACTGCATTCATTTTTATCTGAATGCCAATTCTAAATGTGAATCGTCTGCATAAACCTGAACAGGTCCGATGGTTCACAGGTCACCTGCTTGTGCATAATCAGACGTCTCTATAGGAGCTTTCTGAGGATGTGAGATTCTGGACTTTTCCTCTGACAGGCTCATGGATGCGTCGCCACATCGGAGACAGGAACAAGCGCTATTCAGCCAAAGTTTCATAATCAGGGAACATTTTCTAAGTGACAAGTCTCTCTGAGAGACAGGGTTTGGGAAACACTTGCTTCAGTGTGAGGAACCTCCCCGCATGGCTCTGGTTATGCAACACACTCCAAGCCCCCGACCTACACATCTTCAGCTCGCTGTCCACCTCACGTGTGCGCTGACAGCGAGCTGCGCAGAGCTCAGTGTCCAGCTCAGATGTTCTGTTGGGAATATTTTCTTGATTGATGTAGCTACCTCCACGATGTGCGTAACGATAAAAATATCAGTGCATCTGCAGCCTTGAGGTTTCTCCGTCAAAATAAACGATCAAATACCGGAAATATCCAGTCATCGTGAACCCTGTCATTTAACTGTTTTACCTTCTTGTGAAAATTGTTGCTAACAGGAACATTAACTCATTCTCTGCCAGCCGTTTCCTGATCGGTAAAGCCCTTCGCTGTCAGCGTTTCTCACCGTTTTTTCTGTCTTTTTAAGTCACAGAACGTTGTGCACTAGTATGATGTCGACACCAAAACAACCAAAACAAAGCAGAGACTCACCTCTTACATCAGGAAGAATCCATGCGTTTCGAGCGTTATCCATTTTTTCATAATCCGTTGTTGAATTGTGATCAGCAGATGCTTTTCCGGTTCGCGCCTCACTTTTTTTTTACAGCAGCGGCCCAAAACGATCTCCTAACACATGGATTTTCTGCTTCCTGATCACATGACGTGTGACGTACGCGGATGAAGATCGGCTTTAGAGCTGAGATGTTTGTTCTCATGGTGCGGGGGTTCGTTCCGATGCCCACACAGTAAAAACATGCAAATGACGACTTTAGTCGTCATTGGCAGTGAATGAGTTAAACCTGATAAACACCAGAGCCAGGCACACTACGCCGTTATCTCCATCTCTGTAAATGAGGCAAAAACAAGTTGATCGGGTCCTTTTCTTACCCTTTCAACAATGTTTAATGTAAAGTTTAGTTCAGCACAAAGTTTAATTACAACAACCCAACGAGACAGAGCATGGATTTGTATTCTGAACAGTTTAAACATGTTTTAAAAGGAGGCGTGTGTGACGCGTCACCTGCTCAACATTAAAACCACTAACAGGGTGAAAAATATCTTAAGGACTGTCGAAACCCACGTCTGCATTACAGAAAAGGATCATCATAGCTTTTTTTTAATGACTCATGAGGCATTGATTTAAACTAGGGTTGTCACGGTGTGAAAATTTAACCTCACGGTTATTGTGACCAAAATTACCACGGTTTTCGGTATTATCGCGGTATTTTTTTTTAAACGTGCTACATTTTCACACAATTAAATAAACCCTGTATGTCAGGAAAATATTGTCCTCAGTTTGTGTCTAAATTTTGCCTAAAATGTATTATTTTGTAATTATGTTGTTTATTTGTTTACATTTTTCCCTGTAGTCTTTAAAATACCAATATTTGCCCATAACTTCTTATTTTATGTCTGTTTGATGTCATCATTTAAAAATATTAGATCAGATGATACTCAGTACTCAAGTAGCCTTCTAATCAGATACTTTTTTACCCTTACTTGAGTAATAAACCCTATATCAGGAAAACATTGTCCTCGGTTTGTGTCCTTCCAGTGAGCTTTGCAGATTCAGTAAAATGTCATAAATTTATAATTATTCTCGGAGAGAGACCAACTCTTATCTGCCCCTGGGAGCCCCATAATGCATAGCGTCATTTCAATATGGGGGTGTCCGCGACACGGTTTATATGCAGGTAGCGGCGCTGTGGCTGCTTTAGTGACTCGTTGCATTCTCCCTCAACCCAAATCCTCGGATCACGCATTTTAGCTAAAACGCTTACGTTAGCTTGCCTTGCGTTGACTGTAGAGTTGCGGGTGATGGTCACGCAGATGTGTCATGAGATTTGAAGTGTTGCTGCCTTTCACAGACACTTTTTCTGCACGTGCTGCAAACAGGATAGCTGTCTTCTATCAACTGTCCCTCGGCATTCTTCAAATATCCAAAAGATGCCCGTACTTCCCACTTTGTCTTCTTTGAGGGATAATAAATGTCCTGAGCGCTGCCGTCTCCTCCTTTGGCCATTATTTCAGCTTTAGCTTCTAGAAAGTTTTGGTTGTAAACAACAAAGCGCGCATGTGCCGCCGGCAACTTCAGTAGATGATACAGTGGCTGGTAAGGGTCACCGCCCCTACACCGCAGCCACGGCAAACCACCGAGATAATATAGTTTTTTTTAAAAACAAGACGGTTATTATTATTGTCAACTTTTTTACCGGGGTTTTCCGCTACACCGGTTACCGTGACAACCCTAATTTAAACTAGAGAACACTGCAAATGTATTAAATAAACAAGTAAACCACACCTTTAATAGGCATAAAACATGTTTTAAGCTAATTTGTTTTCCAAATTTGCCATTACAGGTTTATATGTACCTTACCAGGAGTTCCTACAGCTTTAGCGAGCATAAAACCATCTTTATTCCCACACATGGATGCTGCTCATTATATATTAATGTGACTTTATAAAGAGATCTTCTCCCTTCACAGTTGATAATACAAGCTGACACACACCAGCGAGTTTGACTTCCAGTCTTGTCGATTCCTGCAGCATTTTCCACAACCTCCCTCCCAAAAGACCACTGGCTTGATTATAATTTGCATAAGCAAATGGTAAAACACCCATGACAATTTCTACCAGGTGTGCAATATTTAAGTTTTAATGCTGCACAAAGAGAAGAGCTAGTGGAAAATTTGGTGTTTTATTTTTTTTTTATCAAATGTTGAAGGCACCATCAGTATTCTGTTCTAAAATATGTTATCCACAAAGGAGTTTATCATAAGGCAAAACCTGAAATAAAAGTATAAAAGGTTTATATTTTCCTTGTTTATAAGTGTTGTATCAACTCAAATTTAGTTTTATTATCAATTTTAAAGGAAAAATATTGTGTATCAACAGGTATTTTTGCTGCTAAAGAGCAACTTTAATTCATATATTTTTCTCCAAGTTTATTCAAGCTGTGTGACTATCTGCTCATAACGGCGCTGCTGTCAGACACAAAGCAAAGGCAGATCCCTCCCGACCTCTGAGCGTGTCGCCCAATAGTCCGTGCAGACCGGGTTTGTTTGGCAGAACCGAGTCGATAAAAACTCTTATCATGAATCCTGCTAAACTGGCAGTTATCAGCGTGGTTGAGATCTGTTCTTCTGGGGGAGAAAATACATATTTCTGACAGCATGATGGACACTGGAAGAAATAAATGAATAAAAAATACAGATTAAAGAAATATCTGCACCGAGCAGTCGTGATGTTGAGCTTTATGTCCCCACCGAGCTCTGAGGAACTCTGTTTGGTGGCTTTTTAGCACAAACCACTGGTGGAGATGAAGTGAGAATGGGAACCAAACACAGGCAGGTTGTTGCTTTGTTCTTCAGCTGCATTTCACTCAAAACATGTCCTAGAGCGTACACGCAGGTCGATACCGGAGTAGCTGTAAAACAAAAGGAAATAAAGAGACATGAACATGACGCTCGCTTATCGAGTTTAACTGAATTTATTGGGACTAGCGAGGGGAAAATGACTGGTGTTTATAGGTCCTACCAGAAGGAACTCAAATGAAAAATAAATTATCTTGTTTTATTTCTAGTATTAATTCACATTTGTGCCATTTTTCTCTGGAGTATGAGTATATTTAGTTCTTTGATGCTTATAAACTGTCATGTTTTGGGTTTTAAATCTCTAAAGTCATTAAGAAAATACGAAGTGTGGAGTGTGATGACTTCTGTTCGACTCAGAACAGCCGTTGTGTGGGATTATTGTTCTCCTAGCTGTCTTATTGCCATTTATTCTATCCACCCATCCATTTTCATCCGCTTATCTGGAGTCGGGTCGCGGTGGCAATAGCCTAAGGCGAGAGGCTCAGACTTCCCTCTCCCCAGCCACTTGGGCCAGCTCCTCCGGCGGAATCCCAAGGCGTTCCATGGCCAGGTGAGAGACATAGTCCCTCCACTGTGTCCTGGGTCTACCTGGGCTACCTGGGTATAGAGCTGGTCCAGTGTTCCACGGCCAGGACGAAAACCACATTGCTCCTCCTGAATCTGAGGTTCAACAATCCGACGGATCCTCCTCTCCAGAACCCCTGACTAGATCTTACCAGGAAGGCTCAGGAGTGTGATCCCCCTGTAGTTGGAACACACCCTGTGGTCCCCCATTTTAAATAAGGTGACCACCATCCCAGTCTGCCAGTCCAGTGGGACTGCCCCTGATGTCCACGCGATATTGCGGATCTCATCCACCCCTGGAGCCTTGCCATAGAGGAGCTTTTTAACCACCTCAGCACCAGAGATTTGAGAGGCCAACCCAAAGTCCCCAGACTCTGCTTCCTCACTGGAAGGCGTGTCGGTGGGATTGAGGAGGTCTTCGAAGTATTCTGCCCACCGATCCACAACATCCTGAGTAGAGGTCAGCAGCACACCGTCCCCACTATAGATAGTGTTGGTAGCGCACTGCTTTGCCCCCCTGAGGCGCTGGATGTGGACCAGAATCGCCTCGAAGCCATACAGAAGTCTTGCTCCATGGTCTCACCGAACTCCTCCCATGCCCGGGTTTTTGCCTTGGTGACCATCCGAGCCGCGTTCCGCTTGGACTGCCGGTACCCGTCAGCTGCCTCTGGAGTCACACAGGCCAAAAAGACCTGATAGGACTCTTTCTTCAGCTTGACAGCATCCCTAACCGCCAATATCCACCAGCGGGTTCGGGGGTTGCCACCACGACAGGCACCGACGATCCTGCAACCACAGCTCCAGTCGGCCGCCTCAACTACGGAGGCACGGAAAAGAGTCCATTCAGACTCAATGTCCCCCGCCTCCCCTGGAACATTTTGGAAGTTTTGTCACAGGTGGGAATTGAAGCTCCTTCTGACAGGAGACTGCCAGACGTTCTTAGCAGACCCTCGCGATACGTTTGTGCCTGCCTGGTCTGACCGGCATCCTTCCCCACCATCTGAGCCAACTCACCACCAGGTAGTGGTCAGTTGAGAGCTCCACCCCTTTCTTCACCCGAGTGTCCAAGACATGCGGCCGCAGGTCAGATGAAACGACAACAAAGTCGAGCTGCGGCCTAAGGTATCCTGGTGCCAAGGGCACATATGGACACCTTTATGTCTGAACATGGTGTTCATTATGGACAATCCATGACTGGCACAGAAGTCCAATAACAAAACACCACTCGAATTCAGATTGGGGGGGGGGGGGGGGGTTCCTCCCAACCACACCTCTCCAGGTCTCACTGGCGTTGCCCACGTGAGTGTTTAAGTCCCCCAGCACAACGAGGGAGTCACCGGAAGGAGCGCTTTCCAGCACCCCCTCCAAGGTCTCCAAAAAGGGTGGGTAGTCTGAACTGTAGTTTGGTGCATAAGCACAGACCACAGTCAGAACCTGTCCCCCCACATGTAGGCGGAGGGAGGCTAACCTCTCATTCACTCGGGTGAACCCCAACATACAGGCACCAACCAGTATGCCCACCCCTGCTTGGCGCCTCTCAGTGGGAGCAACTCCAGAGTGGTAGAAAGTCCAACCCCTCTCAAGGAAACTGGCTCCAGAGCCAGAGCCATGCGTTGAGGTGAGTCCGACTATATCTAGTCGGAACCTCCCAACCTCACACACCAACTCAGGCTCCTTCCCCACCAGAGAGGTGACATTCCATGTGCCAAGAGCCAGCTTCTGTAGCCGAGGATCAGACCGCCAAGGTCCCCGCCCTCGACTACCACCCGTCACACACTGCACCCAACCCCTTTGGCCCCTCCCACGAGTGGTGAGTCCATGGAAATGGGGACCAATGTTTCCTCTTCGGGCTGTGCCCGGCCGGGCTCCATGGGTGAAAGCCTGGCCACCAGGCGCTCGCCAACGTGCCCCACCTCCAGACCTGGCTCCAGAGGGGGCCCCGGTGACCCATGTTGGGGCGAGGGAACACGGTTTCCATTTATATAATTCATCATAAGAGGTCTTCAGGCTGCTCTTTGTCTGATCCCTCACCTAGAACCTGTTTGCCATGGGTGACTCTACCAGAGGCAGAAAGCCTCAGACATCTTAGCTCCTAGGATCATTGAGACACTCAAACTCTATAATCATGTAATTACTTGTCACGTTTAGAGTAGGAGGTTGGAACCAAAATGCAGAAATCCCAGAATGATTCAAGGCAGGAGAGGTTTTAAAGAAAATAATTCCTTTATTAAGGAGGATGTGCAAAAATACTCAGCACAAAAAAAGATTAACTTTCAAAAAACTAACCGATAACTCGAAAAACAAACAAAGCTCACACATGAGCAAAGACTCGGGAAATACTCGAGAGGGGAACAACGTAGACAATATGACAACGAACCAACAAACACTGAGGGACAAGACAAGAAAGGGCTTTTAACAAAGAGGGAGGCAATCAGGGCACACCTGATCACACCTGTCACACAGGTGACAGGTGTGAGGAGTGAGGTCTGGAGGGAAGACAGTTGCCATTAATATAACTAAATGGGGTGAAGAACTAAAGCAGGGGGAAGATAAACCATAATCTCAAAAGTGCTAAATAACTAAACTTAAAGACTGAGGGCAAAAAGATAAACAACTAATGACTAGCAGAGTGAGGAGGACTAGGGAGTGACTAGGAGGAGACATGAGGGAAGCTTAAAGGGAGCTGCAAAACACAAGAAGACACATGAGGAGAACCTGAGGAAGAACAGGAGGGGGCTGGGGACCAAGGGGACACAGAACATGACAGTACTTGTTGGTCTGTTTTTGGAGTTAGAATCATGCATCTAATTAGATCTGTTTTGGTTTTATTATTTTTATGTTTCATTAAAGCTTTTGTCGTTTTGAGTTTTCTGAGCGATAGTGTCTGGTGTTATTCTATAGAAATAACATTTTTCAGAGTCTCACTAATGCATCCTCAGTGGGTGAACAATAGCAATTAGAGAGAAGAGTTTTAATGGAGCGCTCGCTCCTGTGGTGCAGTTGTTCTGTAGTTGTTGTTTTTGTTCAAGTTTCTGTCCTAAATGGTGAGGATTAGTGAATAAGCCTGTTACACATGTCTGTCATCTGTTTGTGTGTGTGTGTGTGTGTGTGTGTGTGTGTGTGTGTGTGTGTGTGTGTGTGTGTGTGTGTGTGTGTGTGTGTGTGTGTGTGTGTGTGTGTGTGTGTGTGTGTGTGTGTGTGTGTGAGAGAGTGAGGGGGAGAGGGAGAGGGAGAGAGGTGGTGGTGGTGGTGGAATAAATCCTCTGAAAAATGATTTTCCAGACTGGTGATGGTGCGTCGTCTGTTTGCACGACTGAAATCGCGTCAGCAAATTAAGTGTCTAATTGTCATAACTTACTTCTACATTAACACTGATTACACTTGAACAAGATAAGGAAGAAATACAACCTTCTCAAACAGAAAATCTAAACTTCTTTATTTTTTGTTTTAGACAACATCAGGCGAGGACATGAGAGATTTCACCAAAGTGCTGAAGAACAAATTCCGATCTAAGAAGTACTTCGCCAAACATCCACGCCTGGGTTATCTGCCTGTTCAAACTGTGTTAGAGGGAGACAACATGGAAACGTAAGTAACATTAAAATATGGATTTAAGACAGAGTTTAGCTTGGATTCAAAAGACAAATGTTCATTAATCATCAACCTGATAAGAGTCTAGAAAGCTCTGTTAAAACACAATGTTATTTTTTATTTTTGCATTGAAGACTTTGCTTCTGGATAAAGGTACAGATTTATGAGTGAAAAAGGTTAAACAATAAGAACATTCATTAGGGGTTAGAGACCACATTGTGAATAAAATCAGGGTAATTTGCAAACCAATTGAGACACAATTAAAACACTTTTCGACAGACTTGTGATGAACCTGTTGTTGAAATTTGTTTGCTGTTATGTCATGTGTCACACGAGACCGAAACCTGTTGCAAAAGAGTCATTTGTACCACTCCAGCGTCATTGTTAATGAAATTTAGCAACAGATTCCAACTTCTCCGTCCTACTGGTTGAAAATGGATTTACAACTGTTATAAACAACCCTGCAGCAGCCCGCTGTAGCTAGTGCTAACAACGAGCTAACACAAACATGAGACAGCGGGTACTAAATAAGCCACAAAGTAAAAAGACCCACACTGTTGAACAAAAAATAGAATTAATTACAAGTCCAGCAACAAAGCCAGGTCACCATCAGGCTGGAATTTCATAGTCACCTTTAGTTCCCGCAAACTAGTGTAGGCTGTGCCAATATTCACTCGGGTTTAGCTCTTTAGCTCCAAAGACATTACTCTGATTTTTATTTCCAGGCTCTGCCATGATGCCCCCCCCCCCCCCCCCCCCAAAATATAAGTCTTTCTTTTCTTCTTGCTTATTTATTGTCATTCGGAGAGCTGAAAATGCTAACTGCTAGCCTTTAAATTAGCTACAGGCACAGAAAATACCTAACAGCTGTTAATCTGGTAAAGAGCGCCCCCTAGGGCACCTACCCGCTCCATAAAACTTAAGTGCTGTTTCTAGTCAGCAGAGGGCTGCAGAGTGGTGTCCCATGTGAAGTTGGTAAAGTTTCTAGCTACACAATCACTGAACCCCACTTTTAAAGGAATTGGTTAAAGTGTTAAAACTGCTTAGAGTCGCTTTAAGTTTCCACGGTGGTTTTTAAAACAGCGGAATGGACCCAATCAGCTTCCTAAATTGTTTCTACCGTCCACCTGTTGCTCATAAAATCTGAATTCCCAACAAAAAGTGAGATGGCCACAATGCTGAACTCGGAGATTTGAGGAGATCATTTGCCAGCTCCATCATCTGCAATGACTCTAATTTGCTGCCTAGATGTAAATCCTCCTGTAAAACTGTTCAGCTTGACTCAAATTGTACAGAAACCTCGACACAACCACTCACTTTCCCAGAGATTATGTCTGAGCTGCAGCTTCTTGCAAAAAACAAGCTTGTCTAGCATTTCCGCTGCATCATTTAGCAACTTATTACCTTGTTTTTTATCACGTGTTTTATTTTTATCAGCTCCTTCTAGTAATTTCTCAGTATTGCCCTTGAACATTTTGATCTATGTAGCAGCCACTCCACGCACTGACTCACCTGCTGATTTACAAAAGCTCTGGTGGAGTTTGAAGTTGCTCACACACTCACTGCTCAGATGGATTACACCGCCACTTTTATTCCTACCATCCTCAACCGTCCTCCTCCTCTTCACCTCCACTCCACTCTGAAAAATGACTCCTGCAGAGCTGCCTTCCTGATAAATGCCTCTAAAGGGTGGAGAAATTGGTGTGAGAGAACTTTACGAAATATAGCAGAAGGAAAAGGAGACCTGCAGGAATTTTCTGCTGGTTAGCGGTCATTTTCCAGCCTCTTCTTCCTGCGTTAGCTCCTTCCTGTGAACAGAGAGCTGTCCATTGGTCTGAAGGGTTGTGGACGCTGTGAAGAAGCTTCCTGTGATGATTTTAAGGGTTTTGTTTTTGGAAATTCTGTGAAAATAGCACTTTAACTGATGCACATTGTTGAACTGCAGATAGATTTCTGTGTTATTGGTAGAAGTTATGGTCAGGCTCCATTTAGATTTTAACATTTTTAAATTGATCACAAGAGAAAATGAGATTACCGGCTCAGTAGTTGCCCTCCCAACACACCAATTTGCTGCTTTTCTCTCCACTACTTTACTACAATCCCTGGATAATTTTATTATATTCCCGCCCACTCTTGTCCTAATCACCAGCTACTCTCACCTCCGTGCTTCATGTTGCACCAGAAAGGATTCTTTAGATTTGCCGTGTTTGATCATTTTAAAGAAGCACTTTAATAATCTCCCACTCGTGTTTGTTTTTACTGTTCAGGCTTCATGACCAGATGGAGGAGAGGTGTTTGTGCTCCGTTAGGCGTTGCTCAGGCTTTAATGGGCTTGAAAGTGGACCAGAAAGCCGTTGGTGTGATTGTTTTATTTCTGGGAAATTGGACGAACGAGGTTTAGTTAAGGAACAAATACCCTGCTGCACCTCTTTGAATGATATAATTTTTTTAACCTTTTACCACAAACGACTGTATTCTCTTTGGTTATTCCCAGTCTAGTCACATCAAAGATGTGGAGGGATGTGTTTTGGGTGAGTCACTCACTGACACAGTCTCGGGTTTTACTTTCAAGCCGTCTAACAACCGACAGGTTGGGGCCAGCAATCACAGATGGGTTTTTTGGGCCTTAGACAGAGGAATAAAAATGGCGCTAACTGTGACAAACTGACTGCCTCAGCATGATGGACCAAAAAGAATTTTCAGATACCTTTCAGGTCAGTCACAGATGAAGAAAAAACCCAGACAAAATGGTACACGCCTGCTGTGCCTTTGGACAAATCTATGCGGTGATGAAAAAGGGCTTGAGAGCTGTTGGAGGTTTTTTCTTAAGGCTGACTCATGCTTCTCCGTCTGCGTCAGTGCGGAGACACGCAACGCCATTATCCATCCTTGCGTAGGGCCCCGGCAGGCACGCAAGTACGTACGGAGTCGAGCCCACTTTTTAAACATCCGTCGAACGAGACGGAGAGCGCAAGCTTGTGATTGGTCAGGGCGCCGCTGTCGTCTACACCGCCGCCATTGCACCCTCAAAAACATAAAGAGAGTCAAGAATAACTAGCGACGGACACGGAGAAGCTTGAAGAATACCTCGCAAAAAAAATATGAATGTTTAATTCCCCCGTGACTGGAGGAGTGAAAAGATGCGTAGCAAGCGTTTTATTTGTGGACAGAAATGACAGGAAACGTGGGTTTAGAGGTGGGGAGCGCATGAAGAGGTGGAGGAGAATGAGAGACAAATATGTCCGTGTTAAAAAGTCTCTTATATACAAAAACACAATATAAACACACTATCTTGGACCGATACATGACAGGATACCACAGAACAGCGCTACGCCCTCTGCTGTCCTGCCGGGGAATTGCTTTGCAACACTCTCCAGGAGACGGAGAAGTATGAGAGCAAAACGCTTCCGTCAATCCGTACGTGTCTGTCCCTTGCGGAGCTGACGGAGAATCATGAACCAGGCTAGAGTCAGCAGTTCTACGTTTTCTAAAGAAGTCCAGAAAAAAAGGAATAGAGCTTTAGTTTGATTTAAGGAAGCATCTTCATGCAGATTTAACACCTGTAGGTGAAAGTTTATTAGAAACATTTTTTAATCGTGAAAATGTTTGGAATTGGAATTGTTCGTCATACGAAAAACTCTTGAAGCTTCATAACTAAATTTCTGTTTATTCCTCAATAATGTCCTCAGGTTGAGGTAAAATAATGCTGCAGAAGGAGTGTTTCAAGATATGAAAGAGCAAATTTGTCTTTTACTGTTTGGTTAGGTTATTTTCATAAATACTATCTTAAGTTTAAATTCATCCTTTACTTTGATTTTAATTCTAAGTTGTTTAGGTTTTTTGTAACGAGGTCTCGAGCAGTGTACCTAAAACATTGGCCACATTGAAACTTTTTTTTTTTCATTTCTTGTACCGAATTCTTATTTTCTTAAGCCAATTAGTATCAATTACAAAGCTTAAACCATCGTCTGAAAATGTTTTGTATAGTGGCAGGAAAGATGAGGAGAAAGGCAGCCAATGCTTAAAAGTGACAGAGATGCCTTCAGGAATCCTGGAGAACTACTGACGCAGACGAGTGTCAAAAGTTACAAGGTTTAAATGTAAATAAGGATTTTAGCACAGAGGTGCATCATTTGTGGGGCTCATTTCTCATTTTTGACTATGATATGAAGGTTCCTTGCATCTTCATTCCATCAACTGGACAGATTTGTCTCATCTTTCTGCTCCAGATGTGTTTTCTCTCTCTCACCTACTTGGTGGTTTTGACCCAAAAATGTATTTGTGGTACCTTTACCCCCCTCCCCCGCTTCCTTCCGATTTTCCTACAGTCCTGTCACCCTCATCAGCATGTGTCCGGAGCAGTATGAGTGAGTATCTACACCTCGTTTCCAGCCTGGAATGCCTTTTTAAATGACACCACCCCTGCATACTCACCCCACCCCCACTCCCACCCGTCACCAACATCCTCACAACAACTAGGCCGTGACTCATGCATGTTGCTTGACTGCCTGCATGTCTTGTCTGATCCACTGGCTGAACACGTGACCAAAATAGAAAAACTCATACTGCATCCTCACCTTCTTCTCCTCCTTAAAACATCCAGCTAGCTGGTCACTGCAGCCGACCTGTCGGAAAGCATCCAGCCACTCTATAGTTCCTCTGTCTGTCTTTAGAATCACCTGATTTGTTTCTAGGTGAAGCTGCATCAGGCCGTTGGGCTGCATGTGTAAACAAATACGTGTGCATGTGCCTTTGAATCTCTTGTGTTGTGAACAAGGCCATGCAAGCATATCCGATCTCATCCATCTCCATTACCTCATTCATCTACAGGCTGTCCCAGACACCCCAGCTCTCTCATGACGACACCCACTCCAGGATAGAGCAGTACGCCAGCAGGTACACACTGGGATTTCCTGTCACCATCTCATCAGTCACAAACACGCACACACACGCACGCAGCAGCAGCAACACTATTTCATAAAAGATAAACTAAATTCCAAAAGGGTCAAAGTTTTCAATCCTTAGACTTTATGCTTTTTTTAAGGAAACTCTTCCTTCAGTAATCGTCATCGTCTTCCTCCGCTTATCCGGGTCCGGGTCGCGGGGGCAGCATCTCAACTAGGGAGCTCCAGACCGTCCTCTCCCCGGCCTTGTCCACCAGCTCCTCCGGCAGGACCCCAAGGCGTTCCCGGACCAGATTGGAGATGTAACCTCTCCAACGTGTCCTGGGTCGACCCGGGGGCCTCCTGCCGGCAGGACATGCCCGAAACTCCTCCCCAGGGAGGCGTTCAGGAGGCATCCCGACCAGATGCCCAAACCACCTCAACTGGCTCCTTTCGATCCAGAGGAGCAGCGGTTCTACTCCGAGTCCCTCCCGAATGTCCGAGCTCCTCACCCTATCTCTAAGGCTGAGCCCGGCCACCCTACGGAGGAAACTCATTTCGGCTGCTTGTATCCGCGATCTCGTTCTTTCGGTCATTACCCAAAGCTCATGACCATAGGTGAGGATTGAGACGTAGATCGACCGGTAAATCGAGAGCCTGGCTTTCTGGGTCAGCTCCCTCTTCACCACGACCGCCCCCATACCCACTTTGTACCACCATTGCGTAATCTTTAGTAAAAAACACACCATTGCGCCACATTACTGCCACGGTCTGACAACTCTTGGACGACCTAAAGCTCCCTGATGCCGGTTCAACGTTGCAACAAATTGGCTGCATTGTTTTCCAAAAGAGGCTATGATTTCTTTAGAAATCCATAAAATGATGGCCTTCCCCTGTGTTGTGATATAATGTTGACAATACGTTGTTTTTTTGTTAGCTAAGCTGGTCCCTAGTTCCACAGATGAATTGAGCGCAGCTCAGCATTAGCGTTAGACATCCGCTTACGTACAGATGTCAATCACAGAGCATGCACAAGCATTTGAGGACATACATAGCCAGATGCAGAGCTGGTGACGTTTCTTATGGACAAGTCTTTTAAATATGTATAAACGAATAAACGGCATAATGTGTGAAAAGGGGCTGCAACAAACAATCATTTGGATCATCGATGAATCGGATTAAATGGGAAAATAAAAAAATTGCTTGTAAAACATTTTTCTGTCCTTCCTTTACTTTAACAACAGAACATGATTAGAAAATTGTTCAATAGGGTGCAAAACAACATGCTATCACCAAAATATATCCACAAATAAACTATGATCAGTCAAATTTAATGTATTTCATTAACATGTTCAGTAGTAAGCTACTGGAAATGCTAATAACGTTTAATTTCTACAGCTTAAAATGTAATGGAGACATATCTATAATGCACGGGTTAACAATAATCCGTTGTAAATTATGTTCACAGATAGACGCGTTTGTGAATTAAATGCTACAATGGCTTGTCATTTTGCTTAAGCATGTTGCTTTAACAAACCTCTGCTTTGCCATTTTATCGACTCAAGAAGTTCAGTTTTTTTCTTCTCCGACATCAACTGTCAGCACATCTGGAGAGTCCTAGTTACGGAGAGGCTGAGCCCAATTTCTTTTAAATGACATTTCTTTTTCAGCTTTTCAACTGGAGTTTCAGAAAACGATCTCCACCAATTATTTATGCTCATCTGTACATTTCCTGATGTCTGCTGTTTTCTGTAAAAACGTAAACATCTTCTGGCTCCTCGTTTGTCTGCACCAAATGTCAGATGCCTGTCTGGGCATCCTCTCTAACAGCCGTCCCCCTTTAGGCTGATGACATTCAGCGTTTTCAGCTGTGATCAGAGTAGCAAACAGATCGGCTTGATAACCGCTTTAAAAGAGCGTGCTCATGCTGGCGTTCCAGCTGATCTGCTGCTGCTCGCAGATTAATATCCTGTAATGTTAGATGTTTTTAAGCAAGTGGAAAATATTTGATCTTTCCTTTAAGATAAACTTCTAAGTAGCCCAAATGTTCTCATCCAAAACAAGAACTAATTGTTTCAGATTCCTGCCATATAGAGCTTTAATCAGTATGGTTTATCTGAGCTGTAATCTCTAATTGGCCACACACCATTAACCTTTGCTTAGTGTCTCCGGCTGCATTGCGTCATCAGCAGAGACACATTTGAGCCCTGGGAATAACAAATCAGATGACACAAAGACACTAATGTCAGACATTACACTGCTGCTCGGTGAGATTTCTGACTTTTCCCTCCAGTCATACCCTGTCACAGCTCAGTTTCAGATTTAATTACGGATCATTTTACTAATCTGTTGGACAAGCCTGCTCTCTATACTGCAGGGTTTAAATGAAGACAAGTTTGGCTTCATTAACACGACTGCATTGAGTGGAGCCGTGGTTCACCCCAAAAATGAAATAAAATAAAAATCCCAGCTGCAGAACATCTGTTAGGCTTATCAGTCTGGACTAATTTAGATAAATCTTTATTTTTTCCTCATTACTGCTTTGGTTGTTTGTCATCCTGCAGGCCTTACTACATGTTTTAACAGCGTAGATGTCCTCGTGTTCTGCATCCTAACGAGGTGTTGGACACCTCTTACTGTTTTGGTGTTAACCCGTTCTTCTCACTGATGATGGTTTATTTGTCAGGTTGGCTCAGATGGAGCGATCCAACGGCTCTCTGCCCACCGACAGCAGCTCGGCCACGGGAAGCATGTAAGTCTTTAAGGCTCATTTCTTAGAGCTGACCGGGTTTTCAGAAGCACGTCAGCATCGATACAAAATGTTTGAGACGTATAATAAAGCTGCAACATGAATTTAGATTTAGGTTTAAAAACACTTAAAATAAGTTTGATATTTAATTTATGTTTTTCTAACATTTTTAATGGAAATTTACAACATTTGGGTGAACTTTTCTTCAGAAATAATCAAAGTCCAACATATTTCTCCATCACCTCTACGCAATTTCTATAAATATTGCAACACAAGAATGAATTAACCAGAAATGTTATTTTGCAGGTTTTTGAGATTTTATGGAAATTTTTAATTAACTTAGATGATAATGCCATGAAACCAAATGCATTTTATTCACATTAAAAGAGAATTTTTTTTGGAGCCTTTGAATCTTGACTTGTATTTAATGCGGTTCTTATAATGTTTATTCTTTAGTTATGAACTTCACTCCTATGAAGTTTTGGTTGCGCATTTGGAACCGTTTTCAATTCCTGTCCTGCTTATTCAACTGGGGATAAATAATAAAAGAAACCTAATTGCATAAAATGAAAAAAATCTATTTCTAGATTTTATTCACCAGTATGCAGTCTATCAGCTAACGAAAGGGTAAAATAAATTGTCTTGTTTCTATATTTGGTTTAATTTTCAAATTTCTACAGTCAAAACAAATTTTTTTATTGATTTGAATTTTTAATTTGAAGTAAACTCTAAGTCAACACTCAAAGTCCTAAAGATCCATTAAAGGTGTGGTTGACCGAAAAACCATTGTTTTTTTCCTCCCCGCATTAGATTTTGAGAATAGACGGTGAAACTGTAGGATTTGACAATTCTCACAGGTCTACATCACACTGGGAATTAACATTCCTGGACTCACCCATCTTGACTCACCACGGGGAAAGCCGTTGTTGGTTTAGCGTCCAGGAAACAGAGAATGTCTTGACTCGTGTACGCTAACTGTTAGCATTAGCAACTTCACCACACAGCAGAAGCTCCTCCAGGCTTGTGTTATTTACGGAGATAAAACATCAATGTTGCAAGTCGGTGGTAGAGTCGCGTTGCTGTTCGCCAATCAGAGGCGAGATCCATAATTTTGTTCTTTTTTTTTCTTTGCAAAGCACAGTAAAAAATAGTTGTTAACCTTGAAGCTGACGTGTTTCGGTTAGCGACTCTAGCCATCATCAGAGCTCGCCGCGTGGTGGCGTCACGTCCGACAAAAATTTTTTACTGCGCTGTGTAAAAAAAAATGAACAAGTAATGGATTATGAAGTTGTACACAGAACAAATGTACAAAAGAGGTGAGCTGTCCAAATATCGGCTAAAATGACAAAATCCTGCTGTCTGAAGCTCAGCTGTGATGTGAGCAACTCTTTGTTCCAAGAAATCTGGTATATCCCCCCAACCCAACCCCCATCCCACCCAGAAACAATTTACAAGGCATTCCTTCCTATTAGAGAAAAATTCATTGATTAAACAAGTCAACCACTCCTCTAAATTGGTTGATATTTGGTTTTGTTGGGAAGTAAACAGGTGTGCCTGCCACAATAATAAAAACCCAAGGCGTTTCTTTGTTTTAGTGCATAGAAATCAAACAAGAATCATGCAAAGCTGCTTAAAGATTAATTTATATTGTAAAAAGCCTGGATCTCAGACAATAACACCATGAATCATCGTAAAAAAAACTTTCACTGAGCAAAAAAGGAACTCACAAAAAGGTCTGACAAGTAGTTTTAGTAATAGATTTCCTGATTATTTGTGTGAGTGCGTGTCTATCTACTGCAGACCTTTCAGGTGGAAGGACGTGTTGGTCACTTTTAAAACTCGTATTCTGAAATGAGTTCCCGAGGTTTAAAAGCTCTCCGACACACAGTAGTGTGTAAAGAATCAGATACACACAATAAGATGGAACACAGCTGTTATTGTGTAACTGTCTTTGGAGGAAATTAGTTTTAGTGATGGATTTAGATTTGTGCACACATGTAGAATGAATTGTGGCACTTTAATGCACCTAAGAGGTTTCAAATGTGTGCAGCATAACACTCCTAAAATCCATACAAGTGTGTTTTAGAATTGCTGCTGGGGAGCTGGAAGTTTCCTATCGTGCTGCGTCAAAAGAAGAAAGTTCAGTTTGGGGTTTGTGGAAGGGAAGTTTTTTAAAACATATTTTTTCTTACACAACGCTTGAAAGACGGTTAACACCTTGGAGAATCTTCAGGAGGGATAAAAGAAAACATGAAGCCCCGTTGTGTTTCAGATTGAATCCCTTACTGGATCATAGTGCTTAGAAAACTGTTGTTAACAAAGAAGAAGTCCATCTAAGGAGACGCCGTCCACTATCATTGTTGCGAAGAGAATCACTTTAGAGACAGGAAACATTTAGATGTGCAGGTAACGGCAGGAACGGAGCAGGGTTTATTTCCCTCTTAACCCTCCCAATGTCTTCATGGGTGACTCCGCCAGGAAAGTTGACCATTGAGCAGGGTTGATGGTTTATCCCTTGAGGTCCACGTGGCAGGGGTGAGGTGGTGCTTTTTTTACCTTGCTGCTATGCTATTCCCATAGCAGCAAGGTAAAAAAGAAACCTTTTATGTGTTTTAAAAAAGAACCAACAATGCAGTACCCTAAAGATGCTATACCTGCGCCCTATGTACTTTAGGCGTAGGGTTATATGTGTAATGTATAAAGCTGCCAATATTTTTCAGCAACATTTTGATGGGCATTTCCAGAGATTATTGGTAAAAACTACATGTTGTCTCTTTAAAGTCTTAAATAGTTCATCTAAAAGACAAGTTTAAAATATTATAATAAAGTTCCATAATCTAGAAAACAACATGACTGCCTATCACCATCCACAGTTTAAACCTGAGATTTAATCTGAGATTATACTGATAAATAATGGAATTATAGCAATTTTGGTCACACCTTAAAAGAATCGCCATGAATTTCACTGAAACACTAAATATCTCTCAACTACTGTCAGATCCTCTGAGGCAAAAATATCATAGGCTGTTCATGATTTGGGCCTTGAGTAAACTTCTACAGAGAATCAGTGGAGTCTTCTAGAAACCAGTAGAGTGAATTTCCCCACTCAGATTCTTTTAAAGCAGCAGCTCTTCTTCTCTTTCCAGTGCGTCCTTCTACACGCCTCAGAAAACGGGATTTCAGTTAAAATATTCAGTTTCGTCTCCATAACACATCTGTTTGTTTGCGAGGACACACGTGTTCCCAGAAACCATTCCCATGCTTGATGGCAGCAGCTACTGAAATCAGCATGTTTGTGCTTGCTAATTACACGCGGCTCGTGTTTTCTGATGGTTTCAGTCCTGCAAACACCCATTAGGACTTGCTGCCAGTTGCCCAGTTTATCTGTGGTGTGTGTGTGGACACTATCAGTTTTAGTCCTTCTGTCCTTTTTTGTTTTTTGTAGCTTTAATCTAAAAGGGAATCTTTAATTAGTAAATTTGTGTTTTCTCTGACCTCCAGCTAAACGCGGCGTTGTCATTAGTGCCTCGGTTATCTCTCTTTCCATTTTCAGCTCCTTTTCATGTCTATTTCTTCTCCTTTGTTCTTGTTCCTCTTCATTTAATTTCTCCTGCTCTTTCTCTCTGAACCACCTCCATTACATCTTTTCATCTCCCTCTCCTCCTCTTTTCAGCCTTTCATTCTTTTTGATTGTAGACTAATCAGGTTTTACCTTTAGGTACTGGCAACCTTCAGTTGGAACGCTGTAAATGTAAACCTCCAACCGCTTCACTCATTCCTGAAACACACCAAAAGCAACATTTAACCACAATCCTGCTCAGACCATCTCTTATATCACTCCATCACTCCATTTTTTTGTCTTTCCTTTTATTCCTGTTTTTCTGCGTCTTTATCTCTGGCTGTTTTTCTTTGGGGCGTAGTCTCAGCAGCAGATAAATCAGCAGTGTTCATCTTAAGGAGAGCCTGTTTTCTTAGTGATAGCTTTGATTGAAGACTGGAGATCATCGTTGTTGGATTAAAACTTTAAAAGTCCCCTCAGGGCTCTCGTCCTCACCAAGCACAACTCTAAACTGCAGCGATCTGGGAGCCTCACCATTATTTACATTTAATTCCTCTATTGTACCACTTGGATGCTCTCCTCCATCATCATTTTTCAGAGGCTGCTATTTTCTGCCGGTACACCATCGTCTCCAGTGTTTTCACTGCACTCTATGTCCTTGGAGGTGCTTTTGAGGAGTTTTTGCCCCATATAGCTTCCATTTTCACTTGTAGTGGTCCTATTGTTTCCTGGATCCCCCTGACTCACCTGGAACCTGCCTAATTGGTTACTCAGTGTTAGCATGACCCCGTTGCCAACCCCTAGAAAACGATACCAGTTCTCAACTTTCTCTCTTGGAGCCTTTTTTCTCTCTATTTTTCCTGTCAGACCACATTTCAGAGAAAAATATGTTAGTGTGTGGAAGGATTTCTTCATGTTGCAGCAGCCGCTGAACCACATCCAGTTTTCTTTCTTCTTTTTTTTTTTTGTATTCTAGAATTTCAGAATTCCAGCAAAATCTGTCATGAAATATAAATGTTGGGTCCCTTAAAATAAATCAAGAGAATGGTGTTTAGTAAGATGTTTATGAGAAAAAACCTGCAAAAAATTTCTGATTAGTAAAATAAAATGATTTTTATTTATCTTGTATAAAACACATTTAAACAAGTCCTTCACAGAGAAATCATTTTTTTATTTATTATTTCTGAAAATAACCAGTCCCTAAGTTTTTCATGCAGGCTGAAAATGAAAATAGTCGCCTACACCTATCTCGTTATTTAGCGTCTGATAGAAAATAGACGTCAAACTCTAGAATTAGAAAATCCTGATGGATCTAAGTCACACTGTCGCTTAAAGGGACTATAAGGAAGTTTGACAGCCAAAACATGTATAGAAATAATAAATGTCTTCTTCATACATTCTCCTGCAATGCCCTGGTCCTGTAGAATGAGCCCTGGCATTTTTACTGTGATTGCCTGTTTTTCTGTAAAATCACAGAAAAAGAGAGATGCTCGGGTCGAGCAGGCTGCTTCATGCGAGTTCACGCTCAGGCATAGCCCGTAGCATTTGCTATCCGTAGCTTTAGCAGCAGAGAGAGAGGCAGTGCCACTTTGTCGCTGTTCCTAACGCCTAGTGACAAAGCTAGCTACATTTCTGAGGACCCTTAGCTACTTTCTGTAGAACTTTCTTCTAGATATTTCCTGCAAATTAGCAACAAAATAGCCATTTTCACTCCAAACCGTTCTTTGAACGTTGTTTCAGCTGTCATCAAGGATATAAATGTTACAAATGACGTCACTGGTGCTTTAGCTCACCTAGTAAGGCGTCGCACTCTTGTGCAGAAGACCTGGGTTTGATTCTGGATGTGAACATAGTTTATTTAGAGTTTATTTTTTACATTAATGGTGTATTTTTTTTACAGTAAGATGCCCAAATTTTTATTTGAGACTCGCCAAACGGCATTGAATTCACAGATAAAGATGTGGGTTCAACTTTCATTTTGGAACAATTTTTCAAGCAAGGGAAGGGAATGATCTGAGCATGCAGGAGGACTGACCCATCATAAACCTTTTTCGGCTGTGCTGAAGAGAAAGGTACAGAACCAAATTATTTAATTAATTAGCTGCACGTTCTCCTGTCCTCTGTCCTTTGGGCCACACACACACACACACACACACACAAACACACACACACACACACACGGGACTGTCTCAGCTGTTATTTTCGTTAAGGAGTGTGCACGTACAGCATGCTTGCCTCGTGCACGAGCCTACTATTGAAGCTGCCGTTACACTTTTGGCCTGAGGGGGCAATCGCGAGCATAAAAATTCTAAAGTCCCTAAAGTCCCTTTAACATTCATGTCTTACCCATCTTGACTCATGACAGGGTAGACTGTTGTTGGTTTAGCATCCTGAAAACAGAGAACGACTTGCCCGCTAGAAGCTAATCGTTAGTATTAGCAACTCTGCTACATGGCAGAACTCCTTCAGGCTTGTGTTATCTGTGGAGATAAAACATCCACATTGCATAGAAAACGGAGTCAGTGGTAGAGTCACGTTGCTGTTAGCCAATCCAAGGTAAGATGTCCAAATAACAGGAAATGAGACTCCAAAACCTCTCGTCTGAAGCTACTTTCACTTCTGACTAAAATCTCTGTATTGATACTGGTGCATCGGAGCTTTTTCGGCATTCATTCCTATTAGAGACTACTGTAAAAGTATTAGAAATATCAGTGAAGGACCTCTTTAAAGCTGTTATAGCAAATTTGGAAAACAAGCTAGCTTGAAAAATGTTTTCATATGTGTCTTAACGTTCTAATATAGAATAGCTATAAACATTTTGTGGAGGTTAAAATAAAAAACGCAATAATACCAATAATATGCCTCAGACTGAAAGCAAACATAGGACCATCCTGTTGTTGGAACCTTTCTCAGTGGCCTAGTGGTAGAGTGTCCGCCCTGAGACTGGGAGGTCAGGGGTTTGATTCCTGGTCGGGTCATACCAAAGAAAAAATGGGACCCAATGCCTCCCTGCTTGACACTCAGCATTAAGGGGTTGGATTGGGGGGTTAAACCACCAAATAGTTCCCAAGTGTGGCTGTGTCTGCAGCTCACCGCTCCCCCAGGGGATGGGTCAAATGCGGAGAACAAATTTCGCACACACACACACCTGTGTGTGTGACAACTAATGGGACTTTGACTTTGTTGGTCTTGCCGACCTGCCACTCTTTTCTGGGTCCTCCATTCATTGCGCACTTGTGTATTTACCAACAAAACACCACTGGTGTAAAAAGTTATCCGCTCAATAATATCAGAGGAGAAACAGCCGGCTGCTACCACTTCAACTTTAGGACAAACTATCAGAGTCCCAAAAAGAAAAACACCATTTGAAGTCACGGACAACAGAAGAAGTTTGGACCTGAAAAACGGCGACTGGTGTATAGTGCTATCTGGTTTCCTCTGGCAATGTGGGTTTTTGGTTCTGGTGGATGGGTTAACAGCTTTAATGTCTCTTTTACTCATTAATTTAGCCAATATTTAAAACAAATTAGAATAATTTATTAGGTAAAGATAAACATCCTTTTTCCAGTGTCTCTGGCTTTTTATGTTCTTGATTTTTGGTGGAATAAATGCAACAATCCCCATTTTGTTAGTTAATGTTTGCGTTCGCTTCTTGAATCTAAAATATCACGATAACTTCCCTCATGGGCTTTTAGTCATAACCCCTCTCATTGGACGAATGACCTATTGACTCAAACGTTGAATTTGTAAAGCTTCAGACGTTTCAAACTGCTTGTGTCTTAACTTTACCAAAAATACCTTTAAAAGCCTGAAAAATTCATCCATCCATTATTCTGTAAGGCTCTGATTTGGTCATTTTGATCCTCACACACTGAGTTAATAGTTTTAAAATGAGTAAAACAGCGACAGCACCAATAGAAAAAATAAGACTGAAAAACAGAGGAAATGAGCATTGTGGTGTTGTTTACCAAATGTGTTTGTGAAACAGAACCGAAGTTGGAATAATTACGCCGTTGCTGCTTTTTATTGCTGTGATAAATTACAACCAGCCCTCTTGGGTTTGCTCGCTTTTTGTACTTTTCTAATTAAAATGATTTGTGATCCTTTTTAAACCATTCCCTTGTCAGATTTCTGCTGCAACGTAACACAGTTTTCAGATCTCAGCCCCTAACTTGATGAGCACATCTTGAACACAACGGTGAGACCAACGCAAAAGGAAACCGTCCCAACACTGGTGGAGCTGTTCTGCCTAACTTTCTCCACCAAACTTTATTTCTGCTCGTCAGACTGGTTCTCTGAAGAAGTTACTTCAGCGATGAATATCTTAAAAAAGAAAAGAAAAGAAAAGAAAAGAAAAGCACCATCTAAATGTGCCACCCCTCCAAGTTTTAGTCTGGTAGTTCAAGCAGAGTCTCCGAACGAATGAGACAGCTGGGCTTCACTAAGACGTACCGCCTCTTCCCTTCATCATTGACTTGACACATAAAAGATGGCTGGATGAAGACTCAACAGCTGCATGACAGCAGACATTTCTCCGTCTCTCCTTTCATGACGTTTCATCCGTCTGCCAACCTCTGTCTCTGCTCTTCTTCCTCTATCTCCCCATTCCCCAGCTCATGGCGCCAAGCAGATGTGCCTACGCCATAAGCACTAAGCTTGATTAATGACATTCAGGTCACCTTTGCATCACGAGAACGTCTTTATTTGTGGGGGGAAAACTGAGTATTTTTGCTGTTAGAAGTCACAAACCATAAAGCAATAGCAGCCATCTTTAGGAGCTACCTAAAACATAGCTACGTTCCTCTAGCTCCTTCAGTGGGATCCAGAGGCATTCCCAGAAATGTATTCCCTCCAGGAGTCCTCCAGGGGACATCCTGTCCACGTCCACCTCAGCTCACTTTTTTGACCAAGAGAAGTGTCTTCTTGATGCTTCCCTGACCCGCCTGTCGACGTCCCGTTTCATCCTCACTCATAAACCACACCCTGGGATACTAAAAAGCCTCCACTTGAGGCAGAAATCATGTGGCGGCAGGAGAAACAACACTTCTTTTTGAAAGTAATACAGGTCAATCACGTCTAAAGAAAGTAACTAATGATTTCCCTTCAAGTTTGGTCTATCGATTGGTCCTTTTCTATGGGAAAAACTTCGAATTGGTTTGGAAATTAGCTTTATATTGCTGAATGGACACAGTGTTGACTAATGGCTGTAGACACACCATATGGCTTCAATCTGACCTTTTAAAAATGATCAAAATAGACCTGAGAACTAATTAAATAAGTTTAATCCACAATTTGTGAGCTGGCAGACACGTCCATGTGGTTTTCGCCCGATAATTTGTACTTTTGGACACAACTTTACTGGTTTCATGAGGAAAAAAACAACAAAAATTAAATATATTCTTCCAACTTTCTGTCCGAAAAAGAGTATCTGACTGTTACCTGTCTTTTTATTGTGGCTCTGTGACTGAAATAAGTGACAGGAAGCTCATGTTTGGAGTTGTCACCACTTATTTTGCGTTTTCCACAGGGATGACGAGCACGCCCTGATCATTCAGTACTGCCAGACTCTGGGAGGGGAGGGCTCTCCGTGCAGCCAGCCCCAGAGCCCTGCCCAGATACTGCAAGCTGTGGAGAGGGAGGAGCGGGGCGAGCTGGAGCGCAACATCGCCCGTCTGGAGGAGGAGCAGAGGTGAGCGTGTGAAAAATGGAAAGTTCTGCTTAACCTTTCAAAGAGGAATTGGCTCACTTGGTGTTTGGACCAAATCAATAACTTATTTATTCAGTTTTATGCAAAGAAAACCCCTTTCTGTTTTTATTTACACTTTCAGCACAAAAGCCTCAGCCAAAGAATGACTGCAGAGTCTGTTGCTGTGGGGTTGCTTTTGCAGGGCCAGTAGCTCGGCTGGAATGATTTAACACTGATTACACACACACACACTCTCTCTCTGGGAGAGCTTTACTGCCACCCTCATAAATGCCAACTTAAGCAAAGCGCAGCAGCTTATGGTTCTGCTCTGAGGTGGAGAGGCTGAGGAGAGAGATTTAGGTGGGTGGGGGTCTATTATGTTTGCTACCCACAGCAACAGGAGTTAGCTGAGAGGAGAATGCAGAGGTAAACATCAGAGGGATTTTTGTGTGGGGATTCAGGATGAGAACACAAATAACCATTAGAATGGAGACAAATGCGGAAAGAAAATAAGGAACTACAGCTTGTCGTGATATTTCCCTTGCCTCGAACTCTCCCAGGATGCTGCAGAGGGAGTATGAGCAGCTGAAAGAACAGCACGGCCATCGAGGGGCCCCGGCTGGAGGCCACTGGGAGTCGGAGAGCTCCACCGCTCACCCCAACGAGGCCGACCTGCTGGCTGAAGCCAAGCTGCTGCGGCAACACAAAGGCCGGCTGGAGGCCCGCATGCACATCCTGGAGGAACACAACAAGCAGCTGGAGTCTCAGCTCCACCGCCTTCGACAGCTGCTGCACCAGGTCACACAACTGTTCTGCCTCTTTGTTGAATCGGTTCTGTGAATTTAATGCTGGAGAACTCAAGTCATCCTTCCCAAGACCTGAATTTATTCTCTTATGTTCAACTTTCCTCACCTGGTTTGAAATCTTAGCCTTGAAGATACCAGAACAACCTTTTAAGTTGTAGAATAAATGTTTGTTTTTGTTTTAAGATTCCAATTTTCACTTCTCTCTCTCTCTCTCTCTCTCTCTCTCTCTCTCTCTCTCTCTCTCTCTCTCTCTCTCTCTCTCACTCACTCACTCACTCACTCACTCACTCACTCACTCACTCACTCACTCACTCACTCACTCACACACACACACACACACACACACACACCCCAGCATGTAGGGATGTCTCAGAGCAGCTCAGGGATTTCACAATAAAAGGTTAAGTGGAGCATTTATAAACTTGGCCACCAGTACTTTAAAACGATCATTTCTGGGTAAAACATTGAGAATAAACATTCTTTACAGTTTCAACGGTTGTGTTAGCAACAGCTCATCATCAGCTGCTCTTACCCCTCCAGCCAAAGTAACTTACAGGTTTCCTTTTTGCCTCACCTAACTACTCGCTGAGATTCGATCGTTTGGGCCAAAACCACAACGTTTGGGCAGTAACAGAGTTTCGGGAAGCTGCAGAGCTGGAAGCAAGGAGATCATTTACATAGCTGAGGTGACTCAGCACATTTAGACTAAGATGTTTAGCTATTAGCACGTTCATCCCCTCATATTTGACGTCTGTCCCTCAAGACCTAAAAACATGTCAGTATGCCTTTCCATCAGCGACGACGAGCTGCACCCAAGCCCCAAAATAAATAAACAAAAATAAAAAAAATAAAAGTCAGCTGTGTTGATGGCTCCCATTAAATGTACACTCCAAGACCAAGCAAAAACCCGACCTCAGCTGTGCTAAGATAAGCTGAGAGATAACAGTTGTTCTCTTGGGACGTCTCCGACGCTTCAGCCTTCCTTCGCTCTGAGAGCAGCGGGAGACGAAGACGACAGCGGTTATTAGAGGAAGGAAGGAGAACCGTGTTTATTTAGTTTTACGTTGAGCAAACGCTCAGGGGAGCGTGAGATTCTGTCGTAAATGTCACCAGGCATGAAACGTTTCCTCAGACTTGAGTTGAGTCCGTATGTGTGACGCTTAAATGAGCGGAATGGGAACAGTGAACAGCTGAGATCGCTGACATCAGCACGACTGAGATCTTCAGCGCTTTAAAGACACGGACGTTTGTGAAAACACGCTGGGGGTGATTTTAGTCCTGATTATTGCTGCTCTTCTGTTTGTCATCTGCTGCTGCAGCGTTTGTGTTTGCTTCCAGCCAATAATATTAAAGGAGACCCATTAAAGCTTCAACAGGAAAACTGTGAGAGCTGCCATATGTTTTGGCCAGGTTTCATGACTTTTATTTTAGTCATTCATATTGGAGTCCTGGGGTCTCACACTCAGAAAAATGTCCTGTGACGTCTCTGAATGTGTAGCATGGAATTCTCTCTTTGAGACTTTGGCAGGGGTGTGTTTTAGTTCAAAAGATAACACCCTCCTTCATGTATTCCCTTGTTTTTTCACTTCCAGGCAGAGTGATTGTGTTGATTATTTTTTTGCCTCTGTTTCAGCCGGAGGTAGACTCCAGGGTAAACGGTGCATCCTCTCCTACTGTACAAGACAGAGGACCACCCACTGAAAACTCAGGTGAGAAGCTCAACAGTTTTCTGTCCACTGGGTCAAATCTGCATTTAGCAGCTCTTACTCTGAAAGGTCAGTCAGAGGCAAACTTGTTGCTCCTTGTGGAAGCATCAGAGAGTGTATCTGGTGTCCGTATTTCAACCTGTCTGTGCCTGTGTGTGCGCACGTGTGTGTGTTCAGATGAGCTGCTGGACCCACACAACAGCAGCTCTGACCTGGCAGATGTAATGGAGCAGATTAACAACTCCTTCCCTGCATGCAGTCGTAAGTTCCCCCGCTCCTCCGGCCGTCGTCGCCGTGTCCCCTCAGCATGTTTGTGTTTCACCACATCAGAAAAATACTAAATCTTTTTAGCTGTCGTCGCGTCCCTTCGCACAACATGAGTCAGCATCCAACAGAATGACAGGCACAAATTTAAACGTAGGGTTACGTTATGTAAAGCCCGGTTCTTTGATAACAGAGTGAGGTGTTTCACTGTGGGAATCGCCCTGGCGTGACCAACTACGGAAGCTCCAATGACATCACGTCTGTCCCTGACAGACTGGTTGCGCTGTGCCCAGGCTCCGCCCACCCAGTATACACGGCCAACAAACCCCTCCTCATTCAAACGATTTCTTACCATCAACTCAAGAAGGGAACTGTTGGTGAAACACCTCACTCTGTTACATACCGTGACCCTACATTCTTTTTCTAACATCGTTCAGTGATTCACTATGGGAGATATGGCCCACTCCCGGATTGCATGTCCATCCCGAGGCGAGCTGCAGCAAAATTCAGCTTCACCACTAAGCAGATGCTATTCATCCTGCCTCTAGCACTGGATGCGCCAGCAAAGGTTGAGACACATCCAGTCTGTAAAACAGCACAAAAGTTAGCGGCGTGGCCCAGCTAGCTGCTGCACAGATATGCTGGACTGACACTCCACGAAACAGGGCCCAAGATGTCGCCATGCTCCTTGTAGAATGAGCCCTCACCCGCAGAGGGGGTTCAGCACCCTTGCACCTATATGAAAGGCTGATTGCTTCTACAATCCAGTGTGCCAGTCTCTGGCGAGCCACAGGTTTGCCTTTATGGGCCGTGGCCCAAGAAACAAACAACTGGTCTGATTTTCTGAGACCAGCAGTCCTGTCCATATAAACCCTTAAAGCTCGAACAGTGCAGAGACAATTGATCTTGGTTTATGCTTGACACATTCACTTTCCGCTTGATGATGCGGCTCACGGATGGAACGCGCTTCACAACTCACAGCGTTTATGGTTCATGCGGCTCGTCTCTGCGGTGAGCCAATATTCTCCCAAACTGTAGGGGGCAGCATGGAGCTCTACGGCATGCATCCAACACTACACCATAGTAGAAGTAGAAATTACTGTTTACAACATGGCATTCCAGCATTTTTAACAGCGTCCTCGTCTTTTCCGACAGTGCGAGCTATTTCTCTCCAAGAATTATTAACAACATGTTGATCACGGTGATCTCTGAGAGCTGAATCATACAAATGTCTGTATTTACGAAACTCTGCCATACTAGTTCTTGCCGGTCCGCCATGTTTTTCCGCGTCCGACCGTCCGCGTGGTTAGAAAATTTCTTAGGTGCGCGTTGCGGAAATTCTGGGCCGTGCGGAGGTGCGGTGGAGGGGCGTGTTTGTTAAAATGACGCAATTTCGCCGCGCGGAGCCGTGCGGACCTCGCAGACACGTCAAGCATAAACCAACCTTTAAGCTTCTGCTCTTCTGCTGAGGATAAAGGAGGTGAGTGAAAAACCAGCAGCTCCACAGGGGAGCAGCTATAAGACGACTCCATTACTTTAGGCACAAAAGCTGGATTGGGCCGCAGACACACCTTAGTGTAGCCAGGGGCCCACCGTAAACAAGAGGGACTGACTGACCATGCCTGAAGGTCACTCACTCTCTTTGCTGTAGTTGAAGCTAAGAGCAGTCTTTAAAGAGAGAAATTTCAATCCAGCCCCATCTACCGGTTCAAAAGGATGATGACAGAAGGCCTCCTGAACAAGAGAGTGGTCCCACAGTGGTACCAGTGGCCTAAAGACTGGTAGCTTACAGCGAGCACCCTTCATGAAGCGACTCACTAACGGGTGTTGCCCCACTGGTTTGTCACCAAAACCCCACATGGCATGCAGAAATTGCAGCCAGATAAACCTTAATAGTGGAGAAAGCTTTACCCTTGTCCATCAGACTCTGCAAAAAACAGAGTACATCCCCCACCGAACACTGAAATGGGATAACATGTTTTTCTTCACAGCACATCTCAAAAACCCTCCATTCACAGCTGTAAAGAGAGCGAGTTGAGGGGGCCCTAGTGTTTTGAATGGTGTCAGTGACACTTGGGGGCAGGCCTGCCACGCTCAGATTCCACCTCTCACGGGCCAGGCCCACAGACACAAGCGGTCTGGGTGAGGCTGGCTGTGCTAAGCTAGCGGGGCCTGTTGGCTAAACAGGAATTTGCAGTCTAATTCTGTCGTAGAACTGACCAGTCCGAGTAACCAAAACGTTTGTGAGGCGTTCGTGTTAATATTTCGGACTAATTAGCGTGTGCAATTCGTGCTGCAGCTCGCTCTTCCGTTTTAAAAGCTTATAAGACTGTCGCAATTCAATGCTAGTCAAGCTACGGGCTGATTTACCGGCGATCAGACTGCAATCTTCCGGTGGAGAAGTTCTTTCATCTCCGTACACAAGAACAATACACAGTGTCACGAAACACTCAGAAAAGACATAAAAAATACAGTATTTACATTAAAGATGACAGCAGGAAAAAACCTGTGCTTTGTGATAGAACCTCCAATAGGGCTTGGGCTGACGTCAGCCTTAAATGATTTGAGATGAACCAGCTCCTCCTGCCGGGGGGTGAACAGTATCACTCCCCCTTTTGACTTTAATTGGAGGTGTAGTGGTGAATTACGAGATCGTCCCGTTTTCAACCAGAAACATCAAGTTTTATAAATATTTGAGTGTTTACTGTTTAAAAACGTCTCAGAATGAGCAAGAAATGTCAAAAATGTACAAATATCTGGCAAAATGGCTCACCATTATGTAAAGGGTTAATTTTACATCTATTTAATGAAAGGAATCTTACGTCTTATGGTTCGTTAAATAAATGTAAATTAACCCCTTGAAATCATTTATTTTGTCTTCAGCCTAAAATTCAGAACTGATCCAAAGGATGATTTGTTCTGAGTCCCTCTGGCCAGATACAGGTTAACACCCAGAACGCCGTTGTCATAGTGAAAACAGGCTACCGTTGTTCGTGTCCTTCGTTTTCTAAGTCCATACTGTCGTCCAGCTGTGTGTGCGTGCGTGTGTTTAGCTGTCAGGGGTGACGAGGAAGAGATGACAGCCTCCCCCTGTAGGTGCACCTACCTGTAGGGGCAGTTCCAACACGGCGCTGGTTTTCAGAGCTGAAGCTCTCTTTGTGCTTCGGTTAAAAATCCATTTGAATGTTGCTGCTGTTTGAACGTTATTAGGCTCCGGCTGCTGCACAGCTCCCAGGCACATCTGCACAGAAGTTGAGTGTGTGTGCATGAGTGTGTGGAAGGCACCCAGAGGCTGATGATTTAACTTATACAAGCAGAGCTGAATGGAGGATTTTAAGTGTTTTCTTTTGTCTTCCACAGCCTCGAGCCTCTCATCGAGACCACAGGTAAGACTCCAGAACTATGAATGAGTCCATGTGCCGTCAGCAGCTCCCCCGTTCTGCTCCGTGTGTGTATTTCAGTCATTTGTAACGATGGGTGGAAGTTGCGTCGGAGAACATCTTAGAGGTAATAACAGGCATTGTCCTCCGTGCAGCCTTCACCCGTGAGAAGGAGCTGGCTAATGGATCTCTGGGGGTTCCATTAGCACCTCCTCTCATCCTCCTGGTCTCAGGGTAAAGGTGCGTTTCAGGACAAAAGGATTGTGAAAGCTTCTGCCGCTGACCTCTTCTCTCTGTAATTATTAACCCAGCTCCGGTGAGCCTCGGCGGTTCACAGTCCCAGCGTCTCCTCAGACCGCTCCAGGCTAGCTAAACTCATTAAAAAGATTTTTTTAATGATCGTTGTAACAAAACTGACTCACTTTCCCCTCTGAGCTTGCTCTGAAAGACAATTCCACCTCAGCGGATGATTAAGTCAGTAAAATACCCACGTAGTTGAATTCCTTTACGTGTGCATCATTACATTTTAATCCAGGCAGCAGTGAGAGAAGAAAGGAAGGTAAATTGTCGAGCAGAAGGGCCGTCGGTCTGAGCTGCTTGTGTCAGGAAAAGGAGCTAAAATGGTGATGGATAATTAATGATAACAGGTTTTTAATTAGACTGATTAGCGTTAATGATGCAATGCTCCGTTCCTGCGTCGGAGGGTTGCATCTCCACTGGTTACCAGAATCATCGGGTTTTTAACGCCACGTCTTCTGTCTGTTCTCCAGGTGATGTGAGGACCAGCTGCACACGTGAACGCGAGACCATTCCCAAACAAAACCCTTTTGTCCCGAACATCCCAAAGACGCACAGGAGCAGACAGCCGGACTCATTTGACCACCTTTATCTTGTACTATGCAACTGCAGATTGTTCCTAAACTTGTTTTAGTGTTTTTATCCTCATATTTCTATGTGTGGTAAAATATTCTCTGCCTTGGGATTTGAGATCACTTTTTGACTTCTGCCTTTGACTGGGAATCAGTTTGTCATTCCGTGGCTATTCTCTAGGGGTTTTTTTCTTCTTCTTCAAGGATTATCCACAAATTAGTTTGTAGGTGATCCACACAGTTGGTTTTAAAAAGAGAACAGGATGCGTTAGAAACTGTACAGTCACCTCTGAAAACTGTCCTGTAGCATGCTTGATGTAAAATTCCCCTTTAAAGCACCGGCGGCCTCTCCGCCTCGTGTCAACTTCACCCCCTTTGTGCCTAAAAAGACGGAGACAGCAGCTGAATCACACCAGGACTGTGTATAAAGATTATATAGATTAAAATCTGAAGTTGTCCTTAATGTTGGATCATGAGCCTGTCACTATTACGTAGATGTTTTTATTATTATTTTAGAGCTCTATGTTGACAAATCAGAGTAAAGCCATGATTGCCTTGCTACCTCAAACTCGTAGACACAGTTTTGTTGTTGTGGTTTGTGATCCTTTACAGTCCGGTCTAGCATCCGAAGCGGTAGCTTTGCTGTATCGGTGTACAGCCGCAGCAAGTTCACGAAATCCAACAGAGTTCTGGCTGTAGCGGAGCGACCTGCTGAAGCTAGTCTCACATCACCCGCAGTTGTTTTTCCCTCTGGCCTTGGCGCACCGGCCCCTCACCGCGTCACGTTGTTGTGCTTCTTATGCTGTCCTGTAAAACTCGTGGCACTGAACACTACTATAACCTCGTCTGGCTGTAGAGTAACAACGACGTAATGGTTACAGTCATGGTGAACCGTAACTGGCAGAACTGTGTCGCTTCTCCTGAGGTATGTAAAATAGATTCACCACACTACGTGTAATATGGCTACAGTGTTTTATTCTAAATAAAAAAGGTTTTATAACAAATTCATGAGCCTTGCTGTTTTTATTCATCTTTGTCGTCGCTGTTAGCTCGGACTAAGGAATCCATCACTCCTGGTTTAAGAAATCTCCGCCTGATTAATGCCACCTTCACAGCTGTCACCTAGGCAATGTTATTTATCACAGGAACTGATCACATGGTGAGAGGGTCTGTCGTTATTACGTTTGCAGGGAGCGTGCTGCACTCTAGCTGGAGAAATAAATCATTTAGGATGAATGATTAACGCTAATAAGCTTTTTTTTAATATCAGCTTAGTGTTTGGGTCGAGAGAGCTGACTTGTCTGCTAAAGCCGTGTTTCCGCTTTAGGAGTTCTGGGAGGGAGAAACGGGAGTGGGAGTTACGATGGTGCGTCCTATCCTCGTGTCTTCATACAAAATCAGCCCTTTCGGGACTTTGCTAAGATGTTAGCGTAACGCAATCGCTTTGGCAATGAGTAGCATCACTGATCATTAACAATGTTTAAAGTTTTTTTTCTGTCGTAATCGATTCCATTCAGAAAACTGGGAGAGCAGCTGTGTGACGTAAAAAGCGGCGTTTTTATTTGTGCTTTGTGACCACGAAGTGCTGTAAATGACGTCATCGTGAGATTTTATTACAAATGCAGGTTATTTGGTGATTGAATTGGACGTCTGCCGATGCCATTTCTTACAGATACAACCAGTCAGCACAAGCTGACTACAAGTCCCACTCAGACACTCTACTGTACCTTTCTGAGTAACTACCCCTGTTCAGGTACTCCATTAGTTCCTGAAATGGTCCGGACAACGATCCTTTCAGGCCAGCGTGATAAAATTGAGACGCGCCCGTGCTGCAAAGGTTTAGCATTTTACCCGGGAGTTAGGATAAGCAGATTATCTTTGACCATATTTTAAATGATCTACATTTATATCTATTGTTAATGACTCAAATTTTGATTTTGTACTGAACGTCTGAATCATCATTGTGTTACTTCAAAGCTCAGCCAAGCAGGTCACACTCCCAATGTTTCATTGCACCCCCTTCAGCCTTGACTACAGCACACATTTGCTGTGGCATTGTTTCTATAAGCTCCTGCAACGTCACTGCATTTGTTTCCATCCACTGTTGCATTATTGTTTTACAAAGATCTTGCATTGATGATGGTAGAGTCTGACCGCTGCATAAAGCCTTCTCCTGCTCATCCCAAATATTCTCAATGGGGTTAAGATCTGAACTCTGAGGTGGCCAATCCATGTGTGAAAATTATGTCTCATGCTCCCTGAACCACACTTACCATTTGAGGCCTATGAATCCTGGCGTTGTCATCTTGGAATATGCCCGTGCCATCAGGGAAGATGGAATATAGATCTATACCAGACCAACTGCGGCAAGCCCGGATCATAGCACTGCCCCTACAGGCTTGTACAGGCTTGCTATAGGCATGATGAGTGCATCAAGTCACCTGCCTCTCTTCTTACCGTGATGCACCCATCACTCTGAAATAGGGTCCATCTGGACTCATCAGACCAGTTTAATAATGCAATTTTTAATGCATTATTAAAAGAGTCTCTGTAGATGCTTTTTCTGCTTGGTGCATGCCAATGATCAACATTAACATCGTTTCCATGGCCATCAAATGTGTCTTTCCACATGGTTGTTTAAGAAATAAGAAGCAACCCATTGCACCAGTTCACCCATGCAGTGATTATCCATTAGGAGGATCGTACCTATTTTGCTTGGTTAAATCCAGGTGGCGACTTTTTTGGGGCCGGGCAGTGTATATTTGTCCACCATTTTTATTTCTAGTTGGTGTAGTTTGTGACACTTTCGTCTTTAATCTGCATGATCGCTCTGCCACTTTTTCCTTTATTATGATCTGACCCTAATTGCATTTTTCTAGTGTATGTTCAGCAAGTTTTAGCAACCCGTCAGGCTGAATTAAGCCTCCGCATGAAACCTTATTCCCTCTAAAGGCTGCAGTTATTAGACTGTCAACCCTTAAATTGGTTGTGACCTTGTTTGACTGCTCCTTCGTTACTGTACAGTGCTTTCTGTCATTCCTGTCACAAAATTTCAACAAGCAAATTATGCTTATATGACCTCATTTTATCTCTTCAGGTGAAGCCAATCTGTCTTTTTCTGGAAACTTTTATCTTAAATGTAATAAATAATAATGTAATAAACTGGTTGATATTCTTTTGCCACACAATGTCAGGATTTGATGTGGTAGGATGTTTTAGGACCCAAAAATGCAGAAAACCAGATGAACGAGGCAGGAGGTGGATGATGAAAATAAAATCCTTTATTAGGAGTAGTCCAAGAAGCAGGGAGCCCAAACCAAAAAATCCAAAAATCTAAACTGAGTAATCAAAAACTTCAGAGAACTAGAAACACTGGAAAACACTGGAATCACTAGAAGCTAGGAACAGGAACGAGACGAGGCTGACAAGAACAACAATGGACCGACAAGAACACAGAGACAAGGAGGGCTTATATAGACAGGGAGGAGCAATTAGGGAAACAGGAAGCAGGTGTGTGGAGTGAGGCTGGAGGGAAGGCAGGTGACAACAATTATCTGGATGGGGAAGAGAACCAGTGGAGGGCAGATAAACCTAACACTATGTAAAACACAAAACTAAACCTAAAGACTAAGGGAAGAACTCACACAAACACATACACATACTGAGACACACAAACTATGAACTGGGGAACAAGAGGCTGTGGCTATAACTTAAGACACACAACAGAGATGCAGACAAAGGACACATGAGGGCGCTAAGAGAACACAAAAGGGAATCCAGAGAGGGATGGAGAAACATTAGGAGACACATGGGGAAAGACGCAGACAAAGGACACATGAGGGCGCCATGAAACACAAAAGGAGAACCTGGAGTGGGAACTGGAGGGCTGGGGAACAAAGGGACACAGAACATGACACACAAGTTCTCACTGCATCATCTATCAGTAATTTAATGGGAATTAATACTGCATCCTAATTGGATCTGGGGTAACAACTCTACAGACAAGGTGCCTCTTCTATCTATTGATTGTAAATAGGAATAAGTTGTTAATAAAATAATTAGAAGGTTGCAGATGTAATCATTAATACCTAAATGGGGTTTCCACCTGTTCCACCTATAGGATGAAACCAATAACAAGATGAAGGAACATAAGTAGGAGTAGAAGCTCCCCCTAGTGGCTGGCTGCAGTACGTGAAGAAGAATCAGTGTCTAAATGTGATGCTTTTTTTTAAAAACTTCCCATCAATACCTTCACATTTTGAGCATAGATCTTATTCAAAACATTTTTTCTCTAACTTGCCTGAGCAGCACCATCTGTGATGTCATAATCTTTCGTCACGGATGAGAACAGATGCGATTATTCCTCCGGGCTTCGGCTGTCCAGCAATCAACAAAACCATTTATCTGGATCGAGCCGTGCTGCTGGTGGTGCTTGGTGTTTACTTCCACCCCCATTCATGCAGCAGCACTGGCTGCTTCCTTTTGACAGCTGTCCTCTTTGATCAATGCTTGGCAGGCACTGACAAACCGGTGCTGATGGTGTAGATGTCTGCATCGCACCCCCACCCACGGCGCAATACAGGGACGGGCAACAGATGTTGAGGATGAGGCAAGGCACAGCAGGACCGAAGGGGAGGATTTGTGATACACCCAACCCCAAAGCGGAAACTAGAGATGGACACAAAAAAAGAGATAATTAATATTTATATTATGTCAGCAGCTGAATTTCTTTTATGCTGACACTGCGGTTCTTTATGTAGAGGCTCCAACTTCTGCAAATTTGAGTCAAACTTGTATCCTAATGAATCTCAAAGCTGTAACAGCTCCTTTGCAGTGCTTATCAGCTGAAGTTTATCGTCCTCGGTGCGCCTCAGAGCTCCAGAATGTGCTGAGTCCACATGGTGAGTTAGCACTAAGCTGCGTAGTAGGTCTCCCTTTGACAATTACTGATAAGTAGCCAACTGAACCTAATGGCAGAACGTCGACCAAGTGTTATCAAGTTGGATGCTTTTTGGAATATTTAGGCCTTTTGTCCTAAATCAGCTTTTTTCTCTTGTGAGCTGAAAAAAATAGAAAAGACCAAAATCTGGTATGTCAAGCAAAGTCAGCTGCTGTTCAGATGTTGTAACCTTTCCCTTGGCAATTTTAATCCAAAAAATGCATTATTAGTCCATTTTCACAAGATTAATTTCAAACGTTTAATTGGTTAAACCAACGCTGGTCTGGCTGGCCTTTAGTCGTGCTTCATGAGACGGGTGATAGGTAATTTTAGATTTATCCCATATTACCTTAAAGGACGACACACACAGAGAGAGAGATTGTTTGTAATGTCCATGAATCGTCCTGCGAGAGCTGGGCGCAGAAATCCCTCCATGGAGCTGACCAGCCCCTGGGGAAAGCCTTCAGGTCACCAGCTCTGCATCCCCGGCATCTCCACCAAAATGTTAAGTAATTACATGTGGGGTAATATTTAATCTTCATAACCCTGGAACCTGAAATAACACACATGACAATAAGGGAGACATTTTACTCTGAGTCCCCAAAATAATGGAGAGTTAACGCAGGGAAAAACCTCCTCCGAGGCTTTTCCCCCGTCACTCCCAAGTCTCCTCAGTTTCCCAGGGGCTTTATTCAGCAAAAGGATGGGGGAGAAGGCGGGCCTTCTCAGGTTACAGAGGTACAGTTTTCAGTTGGAAACCCACAATCAACATCCTTGGTCAACCTTTCATGAACAGCAACAGTTGGCAAAAACAGAGATTCATTTTGTGTTAATAACACAAAATGGGCATCTTTTAGGCCTCAAAAAGGTACAATTATAAAAAATACCCAACAACGGGCTTTTGCAGACCTCTGCATCCTAAAGTTATTTAACCATTTTGATCAGGTGCTTTGGAGCAAGCATCTGAAATATATTCAGCACTAGACGTCACCGAGGACCAGAAATGGATGCAGCTCCTTCAGTTGTAATGAGAACTTTCAACCACTTAAGACACACATTTGAGCT